CAACGTCAATTGTGCATTGTGCTGCATCCTTAATGTATTTATTTACGTTTGAAATAGTCATAATGTTAAAAGTTATACAAATTCAATCACAAAATATTCAAAACGTTTGATTTGTTGTATCTTCTTACAGAACAAAACTGACAAAAATTATTTTCTGTAATAATTATTTGAAAAATTGTAATAAGTTTTCGTATCTGAACTAACTACTAATTTGTCATTTGAGTTAGGGATGTGCATAGGACCTGTTGTACAAATTTATTTTAAACAATTATCTTGTACTAATATATTTGTAACTAATATATTTTTTGATCCTGTACAAAAAATCATTATTTTTACAACAATAATATTGTAATCTTATTGTTCTGTACCACATAAACTGTTGTACAATAAAGGAACTGAAACCATTTTGTTTTATTTGATTGCCATCCTATTGAATACTTCCATAATTAACTATATTAAAATATCACAATCCTCTCAATGAAAAAATTAAAAAAACTTGTGTTCAATTTTGGGGGATAATATATTTTTCCTACAGTTACCTAACAATATACATGTTCTCTCACTGATTTGAGAAAGCAAAGTGGCCAATTCGCTCATCAGTGAGACAATGTTAACATTGTCTCACTCTAATTACTTTGTCTCACTCCAGATTTGCAACGTGAAGGCACGAAATAGTGAGCGCGTAACATGCAGGCAACGTCGTATGCGCGCAAAATACGTTGGCAGCACTGGCTGTAAATCAGCTGGTCAGCTGTTGGACTGTTGTATTTGTCACTTCACATTAAATGTTATATTAAAAGTTCACTTCTGTGTAAAAATAGGTTATGTTTCTTTACAAATTTTTTTGTTTTATGGTAACTGTAGGAAAAGTATAATGTGCAACTCGAGTTCAAAGTACAATTGCCTCACTCGAGAAACCATTCCTCACTCGCCTACGGCTCGTGAGTAAGGATTTCTCTCGAGTGAGTCAATTGCTCACTTTTCTCACTAGTTGCACAAATAACTATATCGATTGCAAAATATAACAAAGAATTTATTTGTACTAGGTAGGCCCTATGTGAAATAAAATTGTTGACAAACAAATTACTTGTTTATTTAATTAAAAAAGCTGTAGCTACAAAAAAAGAGAAAGGGTCCTATACATATATATATGCTATAGGGCCTAATCCAATAGCAAAATAAGAAAAATAGAGGAACAAATCTATGTATTCCCAATTTTTTTCAGAAATGTGTCGGAGAAGGTCCTTTAATGAATATATGATAGGTGAGAATAAAATCACCCTGCCGCTACAGGTGGGGGGGGGGAGGTAGAAAGGGTAAACACCCCAATTTGCGGTTTTTTGCTCATAACTTGAAAACGGTGCGTCCTAGCTTACATTTTTTATGGTAAAAGTTAAAGCTTATTAAATTTGCAATAACTTTGGTCCTGTACATTATCAGTGAAAAACGCATAGTTTCAGAGATATCCGCACTCAAAAAGATATAATGTTAAACTAAAGTTTTCACCTCACATTTGTTGTTAATATGTTATTTTTTTCTCTTTACTTGTTATTTTCTCAGAAATATTGACTGAAAGTAAGTTGTAGTAGAGAATTAAATTTGCTTCAATAATATATACACATATGTAAATATATATGGTGTAGGTCAAAAGTTACAGCGTTTTTAAGATTAAAGAGAAAATCATGATTTACACAAATAATTGCAAAGTCTAGGTTTTTTTATCATTGCATGATTTGTATGGTTTCTTCCCAGACAGCACACTTTATCCCAGGGACATCCCATAGTAGTCCCATATGTCCTGAGAATGTCTCGGGATATGTGCGCTATCCTCAGGATATCCCGCAAAATCCCGGGACGAGTACGAAATCCACAGGATATCCTACAATATACCGTAATGTCCCGGGATTTGTAAGTTAACCTCAGGATATCCTGTAAAGTCCCGGGATATGTACGAATGCCATAGGATATCCCAGAATGTCCCATGACATCCCGGGACATGTACAAAATCCACTGGATATCCTGTAATGTCCCGTAATGTCCCGGTAACAAACTGAAGAAAAAAAATACTACCACTGATGAAACGTACAGTATATCTAAATTTAAATGTTCAACAAGGCCAATATATAATAATTTGTTTTTTTCACTAGTGCTTTCAGAAACTTGGTTTCCATCTTCAGGCTGTGTTAACACTAGTACAAAAAGTAAATATTTACTCAATAAATTAATTTTAAACAAAGTTAAAACAGACGATTTAAAGGATATTGGAAAAATAAAAAATAATATTAGAAAAATTAATCTTTTGAATTTTGGATATGTTACAGTGTTGTTCTTGATGTAATTATTTTCAGTAATTCCGAATTTATAATTGGGCCGTCTTCATTATTTAACAAATAATTTTGGTCTGTTTTTTTTCTTCTAAAAATAAGATTCCCACGCATTAAGATGTTGAGGTTTTATAATTTATTTTAAAAGTTTAAGGTTTCCCAGATTGAAAATATGTCTTGTTAATACTATGGCTAGCAAGGGTTGACTTTACTTTACTGACATATTACTACCACTGAGTTCAGGAAAACTAGAGTTCTATCATAGTTGTGTGGAATGTGAATTTAATTCTAACTTTAAATTAATAAAACAACAAAAAACTAATTTTAATCATATAACAATCAATTATTACAGTGCTAATCTAATGGTGATTATATAATCTATATTCAAATACCAGTATCCTCTCCAACTACCAGAAAAACAATTCAACTACTTGAGGCCTAAACAGATTAACAGAATCGCCTAAACTGTAGTATCAAAAATATTTTAAGTATTGCGACCATTGCAACTGTCGGCTACTCTTTAACCACTTGAAAACACCCATAATCAACAAGCGCAGATTGCTCAGGAGGTAAGGTAAGAGGCTCACAAGGCGAAGGTACCAGGTTCGAAACCCGTCTGGGCCAAAAACTTTTTTCTCGTTTTTTTCTTCAAAATTTGTGTTTATTAACTATTTAATCAATTTACTAAACTTATAATTAAGCTTTTCATACTAAATCTATATTATTTTGTGTTTTTTATGTTCAGGCCCAGACCACACTTTATCCCAGGGACATCCCATAGTAGTCCCATATGTCCTGAGGACTACCCTGGGATGACCTCGGATGTCCCACGGATATGCGTGTGAGCTTATCCGTAGGACATCCCCGGGCGGGGACATTAGGCATTCCTGTGGATATCCTGTGATATCCCAAGTTGACCATAGGACCACTACGGGATATCTTGCATATCCTGTTGCAATATCCGTGGGATGTCCTGAGGAGAAAGTGTGCTGTCTGGGTTATAATTGTTTAGGCCAAACATAAGTTATATTTAAGGTATAAATTGGTAATAGTTATGTAAATAACAATGTGAAGATGATCATCTCTTGATCTATATGAATTTATTTAACAGGTTTTAATTGTTTAACTTGGATCATCAAAATCTTAATAATATAAAAGAAAGTTGTGTTAGTTACAGCGTTTACTAATGAACCAATTGGCATGAAAATTTACAGGGATAATCCTTAGGTACCGTACTAGAATAACATAATAGCCTGTTTCCGTTTCAAAAACTCTTAAGGGAAGCCCTTAAGGGATATGGCCCTTTGCAGTTTACATGTTAATCTTATGGAAGAATGTTTTATTTTGTTTACCATGCCATGTTTGTCATTTCGTGATTAAATTAAATTAAGGAAACAGCTGTTGTAATGATAACCTAATTTTTAAAAACAAATCTATGCATAACGAATGAGAGCTATCAAATAGGTTTCTATTCCATTTGTTTTTTACGAATATTTGTTGTTAAATGTAACTGAAGGCAAGTGAGCGCAGCGAACAAGCTCCAACCTAAAGGTGAGTGAGCGTAGCGAACGAACTTCAACCAGGACGTGATTGAGCCATGCGAACGAGCTCATCTTGAAAATGAACGAGCATTTGACATAAAACCACATTAGGACAGGACGACGTCTGTCGGGCCAGATAGTAAATACATAAATTTTTAATTCTGTCACATTGTTGAAAAAATCTTAATTTACACAAATCATTGCAAATTCTTATTTAAAAAAATAGGATTTTAAAAAAAAATGTGAGGTAACCAATTTTTTCAAACATTTTACCTTTTTGAACGCGGATTTCTGAAACTATGCGTTTTTTACTGATAATGTACTGAGTTTTGCAAATTTAATAAGCTTTAACTTTTTTCATAAACAATGTAATCTAGGATGAATTGTTTTCAAGTTATGAGGGGAAATCCTTAAATTGGGGCGTTTACTTCTCCTGTACATGTCCTTCCCATCAGAGTCTTTGGCTTTTAATTTAGGCAGTAATATCCGGATCTTTGAAGACCCAACGTAATTCTTTACATGTTCTAATCCTCCAAATTCCTTCTTTTTCTATTGGGCCATATTTGTCTGAGAATTTTGTTTTCGAAAATTATAAGCTTTTCATCTTGTTTGGTTAGTAACCATGTTTCAGATCCATAGGCAGCATAATAGTCTTATAGACTTTTAATTTGGTTTTTCTGGATAAAATTTTACTTTTTAATGGGTTTTGCAAGTACCAGTAACATCTGTCACATCTGAAATAGCTTCAGGTAGTTTTTTAATTTTTTTTCCTATTTTACCACCGTAAAAGACTGTAAAACAACCTAACAAATAAATTAGATAATAATAAAAACTTGGTTGTTTTACAAATAGTTTAAGAGAAGTTTAAATGATGAGTTAAATTTAATGTAATGTAGTGTTAAGATACCGTGCTGTTGACTTAGATGTCTTCAGAGGTTTCTTTCAAAATATAATTAAACATTTAGTAAATGTAATATTTTCACATGGATAGAACTGTGATATTTCCTGGTGTACTTAAAATTAGTCATGGCTAATTTATTGGGGGTCAGATAAGATACATTGACACAGTAGCTGTTATCTGAATTGGTTGATAATGCCTAGATAAACTTGACTGGAAATGATGGTGTGAATGTTATTTGTGTTAAGTTACCAGTAATCACACTTTTGCAATGTTCATGATGACATCGATTAATCATTGGGTGATATCAGCATTATCCAGCTCAGTATGAAGTGTATGTATATTAGACACTATACTATACTTTGAAATGGGGACCATATCTAGAGATATAGAAGGAATTTGTATGTAGATTAAAACCCTTAACATTTCATTAGTTTGCTCCCTTTTTTTATTCTACTCAAATACCTCATAAATTCTAAACTCAAAGCTAGCTAGGGGTGTGTGAGACGTCGAGTGGTCAAGTAATTTTGAGTCTGAACCATTAAAAAAATTTTAAGAGTCAAACTTTTAAATGAGTAAACGTGTTAAATGAGTTAGTTTTTGGAAGCATTTCTATTTGTACATCATGGCGAATAAAAACACATTCGTTATTCTATTAACATTTATAAACCCTTAAGAGTCCTTGGAGCCGCGCCACTACAGTTGTATAAGTCGCAGCATAGGAATTGGACCTGAAGGCGCTACACTGAGTTTAGCATTGAGATCTTTCTACATGTGCGTGTTTGAATCCCGTACATGTGCAATTAATACTAAGCTCAATAATATGTGGCTTAGCTGGTGGGAGAGCCCATTCTTAAATAAACTATGTCGAGCGTGGATGGAAGTTGACGGCATTTTTTAGTTTAATAGTGATTACACACAACACCTGTTTTGCTTCTTTAGAACACAGATTACTCAAGTTATTACTCTTTTTATCTCCCACCTTCACATCCTAGAAAGCTAGGTTGAAGCCCGGAACTGTTTTACACATTACTTTAGGATAAGGACTCAAGCTATAGTACAACACAATGTATAAACTATGGCCTTTTGTTTTCTGGTGTTGCCTACTTAATATACCAATCTTACCAAATACTAAGTTCCTTCCCACCTGAAGAGACAGTCAAACTTATTTCTCAAGAATCATTAGTGAAGGTGAATATGAGCTATATACACACTATCATCCTAATAAAAAACCTTACCATTTCCAACAATAAAAACTAATAATATAGTATTGGTCGACCAATTGGTTTATGTGTCACGAAAAACATTACATGCAATTGCTACATTACTGAAGCACTGAAAGGCTCACCTTTGGTTTATTGTTCGTGTAGCAATTTGCACACTGCACCACTTTAGTTTGTAACCTAAAGTTTTTAATCCTGCAAAAGATATAATTTTTTAATACCAAATAAATTTGACAAATTTACTGCTCAATACCATTGACTATTGGATACTAAAGTAGACATCCTATTTTTTTATTTTATAAAAAAAGAACATAGTTGAAATAGGCCGACGCTACACTACCCCGTTTCGCCAGCCCGGTTAAACAGGACCCGTTTGGCGGGATGATTCGAACGCATATGGGTTTTAATGGGAGCGGTCACATTTTTGCGGTTGCGGTGCATCGACGGGATCCACTGCATGCTGCTGCGGCATAGCACGACGACAGGGTGAAAGGCGAAACACATGCAGTTAATTGAGAGCAGCCACACTATCCAGTTGGGCCATGCGTTTATCTCTACTGTTGTCGATATCAACAGTGCTCAGCATGTGATGCTCGTGCTCGTCACTTGAAGTATGTTGTGGTAGAGCAGGAAGGTGTGACAGGGTAATGTCAATGCGGTAAAAACGCATCCAGATAAACGGGATAGTGTGGTGCCGGCCTTAGGTACTCACATAGTATAATGCAGTTTAAAACTCTTATTTCTTCTTTAGTTTTTGTTCCTATGATAGTTGAGGACATTAAAGATGCTGCATAGCTTAAAATTAGTCCTTCCAGTTTGACTTGGTTGATATGTTATTTTAGCGAATTTCCCATATAGGGAATAAGCTATTACCGTAGTACTCACGGTAAGACCTGGACCCGGGACCGATTTTTTTTTTCGTTTTGAGGTCCCTAGAGGTCAAAAACACCATCCGTTCAAATTCATATATATATATATATATATATATATATATATATATATATATATATATATATATGTGTCCGTTAGCGCGATAACTCGAGCAAAAATGATCCGATTTTGATAAAATTTGGTACAAACGTGTAAACCTACGTTTATTCGAACGAGTTCGCGAACCAGCATGATCGGACCATGGGAACGGGGGTTTATGGGGGCTTTTATGGGGTAAAAATGGGTTTTTCCCATTTTTTACCCAAAAAACATAAAGTTTTGCAATTTCTTTCAAAACTATTTTGTAGAGCTTAAAAAAACAAATAATTTAGTATATTGAAGCGTTATGCGCCTAATGGTTACGGAGAAAATTCAAAAAAATTGTAAATTTAAAATTCCCATGTTATTCTTATGGATAGAATAAGTAAACTGTTGTAGTTTGCTTGTTTATAAACATATTTTGCCCAAATTTGGAAAATGTTTTTATTTCTTACTAACTATTAACATCTTACATAAAAAACACTTTTGCCCTCCCTGTTGCAGCAAACCTAAGTATGTTTTAAACTGATTCTATTTAAATAGGGAATAAATGTGATATTTTTAAGGAGACATTTTAGTTTAAATCCATTCAGGGAAATGGAAATTCGCTTAGTCTGCAGGTTTGCTGCGGCGAGGGTATTTTTATTTTTATATTCAACAGAAATCAGTTATTTACATTAGTGTACTCTAAAACTGACTACCTACACCTGTAATATGGGAATGGAATGTCTATAAACAGTGCAAGATAATAGGTAATGTAAAATGAAACTGGTTCTGATAAAAGAATTAATTAACTATAAAAATAACTAAAAATTGTGGTTGATATCTTGTGAATTATGGATTTATGCTTGTAATATAAATTATCATTAGTTAAAAAACACATCTAATAATAGTTAAGAATTAGTTAAAAATATACAGTAATTTTGAACTACACTACATAATATTTCTGAAATAGAAGAGTGTGCTCTTCTGGCCAGTTTCAAAATGCACTGTCAGAACGAAGGCCAGATGATTGAGGGTCGTTTTATAAGTAAGGGCCGTTTTTATGTTTGCGTGTACGCCACTTACTGGCCAGCATCATTGGTGAATAGAATGGTGTCATTTACAGCTCTGTAGTTGACGTGTACGCTTTGCTGTGTGTTTAGAAAATGTTTAAAATTATTGAATCTCACGCTGCATGTGACATGAAATCAGTGACACGTTTTTTATCACAAGAAACATATCCGATGCTTACATTCGTTGCCAGATGACTGAAGGTTATGTTCCAAATGCAAAGAGTGATGGTTAAGTGTGGTAATGGGTAAGGGGGTATTAAAGTTCCAGAAAAACCTTTTTACTTTGTGGTCTTCTGTGATAAGTCTGGGTACCCACCAAAAACACAATTCCATCTCAAATGGACAGTTTCACATTTTAAACTCCCTAACCAATTTCTGCCCTTAACCCTCTATCATTGCATGGGAAACTGTCACAACGATAATAGTAGTGTATAATTAGTCATCAACCTGACTCTGACTTAGGCTGTGATTTGGCAGTAAGCGACACTGTGCTGGAAAAATTTTGGCATCCTCAATTATCCTGGTTGCCCTATGGGCTATAACCCAGTCAGCCCTTAAAAAAATGGGGTCGGGGAGAGGAGAGGAGAGACCAATTGTACTCCATAGCAGTCTTTAAGAGTTCTCCTCAGGCTAGAGTTAAAGTCATTAGCATCTAGTGTAAATGTTTTTGTACATTAAAAATTACTCACCATAAAAATTATTTTACAGAGATCTGCGAAGAAGATTGAAACAACTCAAGTCCGGGATCTCATTCAGAATGGCTTGTGGAGGAGTAAACAACTGGGACCTCCTTTGTCCTGTTTGCAAGACCTTCATTGAAAAAGATTGTTTTAATGACATTCAAGCTTCTTTGGACTTACATTATTTGAACATACATCCAACATTAAAAGCATTGTTTATATTGAAGAAACAAAAAATAGTTTTTAACGAGGATAAAGTCTATGGAGAGCTAAAAGAATGTACCAACTATATAATTTGCCCGGTTTGTGAAAATTTAGTTGAAATTTTCCAAAACAATATTAACCATTGCTTCATGGAGCATTTTGAAATTTGTCATCAACAAATTCATGAATTGGATTCTGCAAACAATTTATCTGTAAAAAAACAAACTGAACATTTCACTGAGGTGAAGAATAGAGACAGAGACAGTATTTCAAATTTAAAAACTTTGACATTGACAGACCAACCTTGTAAATCGTTTGATTTGTCACAAGATTTGGAAAATCACAGAGGTTATATAACTGTAAACAGCAGTAGTTTTGTTTGCCATGTCTGTGGTGAAACGTTGAATACAGAGCAGATGGTTGAGTATCACTTAAAAACTAAAAGACATGAAGATAATGTAATCATCTGGCTGAAAGGTAAACTATCTAATCACATGCAGAGTACTATGGAGTATGTATCATTTTACGGCTCTAACTTATGTTGCAACCTTTGTAGATGCAAAATAGAGATGAACTCACAAAATCCTCAAGAGACACTACTGAACGTCATTTCTCACAATAATGATGTAAAACACTCCCAAGCAAAATCCCTCAAGAATCCAAAAGACAACAATAGTAGTTTAGGAATTTTAGAATTAATAACAGAGAAAAACTCCTTGATCAATCAACATAAAGAATTCATTGAGGCTGAAATCGAGCCACGTTTCAGTTGTAAATTGTGTGAGAAAATAATTCATTTCAACAAAAATAATTTTGAGCTAGAGCAAAACTTCCTTACACATATTAATAGCAAGTTGCACAGTGAGAACTCCAAAGCAATTCGTGTTTTGAGGCTTTTCAAAGATATGAATGGCGACAGGAATGGAGTGCACTGTTTCTCTGTTTTGAATGGCAGTATTAACTGCACACAATGTAACTCTTTGGTGCCAGCCAACATCGAACAGTTGTTAGAACATTGTAAAAGCTACGAGAAGTTAAAATCAGACAAATTTCTTAAGAGCCCTCTGTCGACCAATAAACTTCCTTCGACCAAAAATAACAAGTTCCCTTTGAATAACAGTTCTGATACTGGATTGGCTAACTTGATGTCTTCTGACGAGACCCCACTGAAGCCTCATCACTCAAGTCCCATGGCCCAACCGAAGGAAAATATGACCAAAGGAACAAGTAAACTCAATATTAAAGAAATACTCCTACCCCTGAAAAATCAATACGGAAACATCACTTGCATGGCTGAGAATGAAAATGGCAAACTGGTATGTGTGATTTGCAACTGTTCAGTCCAACCATCGACTCGCTTTGTGAAAATTCATCTCTCAGGAAAGTTTCACAAGAACAAAACTCAATGTCAAATTAAACAGCTCAGCGCTCTAAACACTGGGGAAGAAGCTTGCAGAGACTTGAAACTTAACAGCGACGGTGCTCGAGAATCCTACCACTTGTTGGTCGAACACTTGTTTCAGTCGCTCCCACAAAGGTTTCAAGATGATAAAGATTTTTGCACAATCAATCTCACAGATGGTTCTGTCCATTGTGTACTGTGTAACTGTACCATTGATCCAATGTTTTTGAAAGATCATCTTCAAGAAGAAGGTCATCTTGCTCAAAAGCAACTACAAAGCTTGTAAATATTTACTGTCCAAATTGTTGCAATTGCAACCAAACTATTCATCCGTATATTCGTAACACTATACGGACCAGATTAAGTATGGATAAATGTGCAACTGCAATTATGTAATTCTCAAGTGACCACTAGTGTATGTATTCGCTACTGTATATATATATATATATATATACTAGCAGAATACCCGTCCTTCGTACAGGGTTAGACAATAGACAACATAATAAAATGTATAAGTATAAAATGGTTGGCATATAAGTATAAAATGCTTATTACAGTTATACTCAAGCTTTGCGTTTTCAATGGGGGACTGTTGATCAAATTTCCTTTCTTAATTTACTGTATACTGAGGATTTGTATTACACATCTACTATAGCCATAATGTTCTACCACTTTACCTAAATAATAGAGAACAAAAAATTTAAAATATCACAAATTATTCATGAAATTAAAAACATAAACATAACTCTAAACAATCTTTGACAGTTCTCATTGCGTATCACAGTTTTTTTGTTGCTGCCTAGTTCAAATTAGCTGTTTTCATAAATGAAAAAAAATAATAGTGCTGAACCCTGTTGGTAAATCTTATAACTTTTTAATGCTTTTGCATACCATCGAACCAACTTTTTTAGTTAAAACAGCTGACTGTATTCTTTAATTCCCTTTGAATACTCATTAGGTTAACATGGGGAACTACAGAGCCACTGGGGCGGAGCCCGAAAGGATTTTTGAGATAAGAATATGCCTATATGTTAATCGGGAATGTGAGCTATCAGCTATCATCATGCCAAATTTCAGCCCAATCTGTCCAGTAGTTAATGCGTGATTGAACTTCAAACAAACAAACTTTCACATCATACTAATATTATTGTGTGTTTGTTTGTTCAATCACGCATTAACTATTGGTCGGATTGAGTTTAAATTTGGTATGATGATTGATAGCTCACATTCCCAAATAACATATAGACGTATGACATATTCTTATCTAAAACATCCATTCGGGCTTCGGCCAAGGCCCCACTAGAAAAAACAGGCCATGCTGCAGGATCCATGACGTCACACTAGTGGATGGATTTCATTGATAAATTCATTGCCATCACCATTCCCATATGTTTTAGGTAAATAAACAAGCTGGCTGTTTGTAAGATTTTAATGGTAAGAGTTTAGTACAACTATCCACCACTGTGACGTAGTGTTGCGCTACCCGCGCTGCAGCATGGCCTGTTTTTTCTAGTGGGGCCTTGCTTCGGCCCAGTGGCTCTAGAATTTTTCATGTTAACCTTATGAGTATTCATATTTAAAAGGAATTAAAGAATTTTTCCAGCTGTTTCAAGTACACAAGTTGGTTATAAGGTTTACCAACATGGTGAAGCACTATCATTGTTATTAATCATTTTGATTTTATAACAACAGCTAATTTGAACCAATCAGCAACAAAAAGCTGTGAGAACTTTACTTTTTTCTATTGTTTAGGTGCAGTTGTAGAGCATTATGGCTATGGTAGATAGTACTATAGTATGCAGTATGCAGTAAATTAATGTAAACCAAATTTTCTTATAATGTACGTGTCCTCTCCCATTGCAAGCGCAAAGCAAGAGCATGACTGCAATAAGCATTTTGTACTTATACGCCAACCCCGTACAAACGACAGGTACTCTGTATGTTTATAATATTAATAAGATAAGATATATATTTTTATATCTCTTTTATATACGTAACAGACATGACATTTCTTCATACCTAATGAATTTCATTACTTATAATATGGGTAGAGTTATATTATTTTATTACCTTTTAACAGTTTGTATTGACAAATTATTTTAGCGTAAGATATACAATTTGGGTGTTTCTGTTTCTCCTTTGAAATATATATTTTACCAAATTAAAACTTTCTTAGTATAACTGATACCAATCCCTATTGCTAATTATTCATACAAAAAGTCTCAATGGTATTTTTTTAATTATTTATAATAGTTATGGACTTTAAATAACTGTTTCACACACACAGTATAATACAGAGTAAGCTAATACTTGTCCTGAACGTGAGTTTTCGGCAGTTGCTCCAGTTATTCCTGTCTTACGCTTCGCCTTATACCCGTGAAACATAATCTCATATGCTCGGTTTTGTTTTGCACGAGGAATTTGGTGTTCCTGTGTTTGGCATTGCCTCACACGTGGAGCTTAAGCACAGGAAAATGTCACTCTCGGTACATGGTGAAATGTACTATTGTTCAATCCATCACAGTTTAAAACCTTTTGTATGTTTTTTCTGAAATTGTTTATATCAAATTTACAGATACAAATTTCTTTATTGTGCATACATTCAAAATTATAGTGTCTTTTTGGCTCTTATATAGAAGTGGCCGTAGCTTTAGACTATTATTTTAGTCTCTATAAGACTATGTATACTATTATCGTGAAATAAAGTTCTGTTCCATTGTTAAAAGAGTGGAATAAAACTGCTTTAATTTTGCTTTCCATAGCTAGATAGATGAATCATGGTTAAATTTGATCATGAAAATTTATACGACTTCTGCACCATACTGTCTCTCAGCTCTTGTAACATACCATATCTTCACTGATTCTACAAGATGTCAACATTGTCAAGTCAACTATGTTGTTGGATGGAAGATTCACAGGGAAAAATAGTTGGTAAATATTAAGAAAAATGTTTTATTTAAATAAACATGCTTACAACCAAAACACAACAACTTACCTTAATTCTATTCTCACTTTTTTAACATAAATTTTGAAACTGTATATTGGCCATCAAATCCATATCTTACTTAAAAATCTTAATGTAAAAAGTATTGAAAAAAGGTGTAACTATTGTAAAATATTGACCTATAATTGTTAAGCTAAACCAACAACCAACGCACAATTAATTGGTTGGGCAATAAGACAACCTTACTTAACCCAAAACCAGGCACAAACAAATGCTTTTATGGCCTGGTAAAATACACAACAGCATTTAAGTCTACAAATTTAAAGTTTAAAAGTATTAATGGATTGGTTTGTAAAAGTGGTATCTATCACAGTAAAACCACCTTGAACTTATGACATTGCAATAGCTTTACTATCACACAAAACAGCAACAATAACAATAAATTTAGAATGGTTTAAGAAAAAAATGAATAAATTGCAGCAAACACAGCATGCAAGAACTAAAAATAACTTTGCTATGGCAAGTCCCAACAGAGTCCTTAGCAATAGATAAATAATCCTTGGAGTTTCCACAAGAACTACATGTAATTACTAATTAGTCCACCAGTCCATTGACACTGACTACTCTAGTTTGCCACATCATGGAGATATCTATAGCAGAAGAATAAGAATCTATAACATCGGAAGAACTAGTTTTGCCTTCTCATGGCCGCTTTAATAAAAGGGCCTAGGTCAAGGGGCGCAAATGGAAGAGAAAAATTCCTGCACAGTAGGGGGAAGGGGGTGCAATTGTCTCTCGGGCCCATAGCACGTCACATTTCACATTTAAACTGTAGAGGCCTGGGCCTGTTACCTGAGCAATGAATTGAGATGGGATTTCTGTCAGAAAGATTTAACCACTGAATGAGCGTACTATGATAATTTTGAAATCTATAGCATGAATATTTATAAGAAATTGTTTCTTTCTACAAAACCTTGTCACAAAATTGATATCAAAGTATTATGCTATTTTGCGGTAAGGAGAGAGTGGAGCACAAAAGATTAAACGGTAAATAACAAAAATCAGATGATTGTACATAAAAACAGTTAAAAATACCTAACACTTACAGTTACTTTAAATTACTTTGTACAACTAAAGCTATAGAATAATACCAAAGCTTAAGATTTTTTCAAGCTCAAATACTTTGAAATAGCCTAAGCTTTTAACCTTACGATTTACAAAAATACACTACAAATGAGATGAATCAGTCTTTTAAGGAACTATACATGATAAACAGGAATGTTGACTAAAGAAAAAATACAACTACATTTCAACAACAAAACCACATCAATCCAATTATCATTCATATGTAAACAAAACTTTTTGGATCTTTTCTGTTAATTTACAACCACACTTCTATCTGAAACTTATAGATTGGCAAGTTAAAACCAATAACAACAATTTAGAATCAAAAGTTTGAGGGTATTGGAGGCAGTAACTTGAACTGTTGAAGTTAGCAGTATATTATAGCAAAAGATAGAATTATTAGCCTGTTATGGAACTCAGTAAAGTAAGATTTAGTTTAGGTATTAAAGTTACTCATTTTCACCAATTAGCTAATGTGAAGGCTATAAGTGTTTAAGTAGGAATAATGCAGTTCAATGAGTTTCAATTGAGGAGGAATGAGAATGGTGATGACAAACTTTAACAAAAAGTATCCAAAAATATATCTTAACCTACTTCAATATTCATTCTTAACTTATAAGCTCCTAATACAGTCTTTATTTGTATCTTAACTTAAGCACCTACTTCAATCATCAGTCTTAACTTGGTCACCTCCTTCAATCTTCAGTCTTAAGCTCCTTCTTCAATCTTCATTCTCTTCTCAGCAGGTGGTTTTGGGCTGGTAAATGGGGATGGTGGAGGGTTTATTTTAGAGATAGGGATGTTGACTATGTTTTTCTTGTCAAGAACTTTCTTCGGAATTGTCAACTGCAAAACGTTGTCCGAGGACATTGTTGATTTGATAGCATCAATATCAACATTGTCAGGCAAGTGGTAGCGGCGAGTAAATTGTCTAGAAACCAATCCGTGTTCGTCAACACGTTCCTCGTGATTCCCTTCTACTACAATGAAATCACCGACAACTCTTACACTTAGCTCTTCCGGCTTAAACTGTTGTACGTCGAGAGAGATCTGAAACATGAATCATTTAATAAACTGTATAGTAGTACTTTATTTCAATTCTAAATATGTAGAATTATACTGGGCGTTTCATAATGAAAGAGCATATTTTTACTATATAAATTAAAACTTATAATCATGGATGATTTGTATGGCATTGGATAGGACAAAGAGAGAGTATCATTTTCATTACAGCTTATCACCTGATATTACTTTCCCACATAACATATGATACATTTTCAGTAAGGTCTTGTTATTTGGGGAATGACCACTCCTCAAGGAAAGATATTTTGTATTTTTTAATTACCAGTAGGATTTTCCATTAATGGTATAAGAGAAGGATTTGGCATTTGTATTAGCCCTATTAAAAATATTCTCGGATTTATAAAAAGAAATATTAAGTTTCTGACTTCTTTTTAAATTAATTAAGTATTGCTTAATGTAAAATGGTATGTTGTGAAAAAATGTTTAACCCTTCGAGTGTTATGTGTCGTAAAAGCGACTCATAACACACTTTGTGTAGTGTTTTGTGTCGCTTTTGCGACTCACAGTCACAAACACTGTTTACGGCGAAGGCTCTATGACTGACTAAATCGGATTGAACTGGATCGAGTTAGGTAGTTTTTTTTGGCAGATTTTAAGCTTTCTCCCGAGGTCTGTCTCTAAGCGCTTTTTTTTCTCGAGCCGATCATAATTGTAGCAGACAGCTGACGTGCGTATTTGTAATAATAATAATAATATCACTTTATTGTCATAAAACATTTCACATTTCCAGCAAAGCTGGTGAAACAGATGACATTGTCATTTCTTAGCTAACAAAAATAAAAATTAAAACTAAGGATTAAAATTAAACTAGTCACTTTTTAAAAAAACAGTCATTTAAATACTCTTCTATTGTATAATATTTCTTTTTTATAAGGAATGTTTTTAATTCTTTCTTAAACTTTACAATGCTATTGATATTTTTAAAATGAGCAGGTAGACCGTTGTAAAGCCTCAGACTCATGTAGTACGGCGATCTTTCATAGAAGGCATAGCCGATGTCTTGGATACTGCAAATTATTTTTTGAACGTGTTTGGTATTGATGAATAAATTTATTGTCTATAAATAATTGTGCATTACTCTTGAAGTGTACCAGAATTTTATAAATGTAAAGTGAAGACATTGTTAACATTCCATATGTTTCAAAAAGCGGTTTACATGACTTTTTTTGCGTGTAAATGATAAGATTCTTAAAAACTTCTTTTGTATCTTAAAAATAGTTGAGGCATATGATGTTGAGCCCCATAACTCAATACCATATTGCATAATGGAAAAAAATATGGCATAATAAACTATGACCTTTGTTTTAGAATCTATTATGTTTCTTAAAACATACATCTGGAAACAAGCTGTATGTAATTTTTTAGCTAATATTTCAATGTGATGTTTCCAAGTCAAATTTTTATCAATATTTAAGCCTAAAAATTTTGTTTGTTCGACAAAAGCTATAATATCATTTTCATATGGTAATTCAAAAATTATGTTTTGCTTATTTTGTAGTGTTTGGAATTGCATAATATGTGTTTTAGAATTATTAAGTTTTAAACCATTTGCCGCAAACCAGCTAGTTAACCCTTAGAGTGCCAGGCGAGAAATAAAAGTAACGCTCAAAAAATGCCGATGATTTTTCCCGAAGGTCGCGCTAAAAATGCCGAGCGCGATCTGGCGATTTTTAGGTTAAAATTTTGTAAAAATCGAATTTTCGATATTTCGACCAACGAAAATCGATGTATCGCATCTAGTAACTTTCGACTCAATGTTAATATATGGGTTAAAAGAATCCGAGTATCCATTCGGTTGTTATGACAACTGTTCGATCATTACGAAACGTCCGGTCAGCCGGACGTTGGCACTTTTGGCTCGTTCTAAAAACGTCCGGTCGGCCGGACGTCGGCACTTTTGGCTCGTTTTAAAAACGTCCGGTTCCCCGGACGTTGGCACTGAAAGGGTTAAGTCTACAATGGAACGATCAAGCTCTAATCTAAGAGTATGTACATCATTTGCTTTTACTATAGCTGTAGTGTCATCAGCATAAATAATATTAGGTTTGATGATACATTGTTAGGAACATCATTTATGAATATTAAAAATAACAAGGGACCTAAAATTGATCCTTGGGGTACACCACAATTGATGGTTTGCCATTTTGAAATGAAATGTTTACCATTTTTCTTAATGACAGTTCTCTGTTGCCTGTTTTTTTAAATAAGGTTGTATCCAAGACAGTGCCAGATCAGAGAAGTTATAATATTTCAGTTTATTACTTAATACATCATGGCTCACACAATCGAACGCCTTGGACAGATCACAGAACACTGCTGCAGCTGTAAACAGCTTGGTTAACCTCGCACCGATGACTGATGTGTTTTATTACGTTTAATTGTTTAAAATATTTGTAGACTTATAAATTATAACCATTTATTGAACGCAAACATAAATTTTTTTCATTTATTTTATAGTTTTTGAGAAATGTTAACCCCACAAAAATTGTTGAACATTTTTTCTTTTGTTATGTTTTATATGTTACATTGAAGCCCATAATTTTCCAAACAAAATGATATATAAAACAGTATACTTTACATTGTTTTTAAGTTTCTAAGATACATTTTAATAAAACCCTGCGATTGCACAATAAATGGGCGAACATTAAGACCAAAACTAGAGACACTTGGAGGGTTAAAAAAATACTAAAGTGATGAGTCTATTGAACTTTAAAGAACTCAAATTGGATTAGGCTATATCAATATTGGAATAGGTTTTCAATGCTGTCTGAAGCAGTGTGCAGTGTCTGAGATAGGTTTTTTGACCATAAGAAACGTATCCCATGCCGACATTCATTGCCAGATGACTGAAACTTAAGGCCCTAATGCGCTAATGAGTGAGGGTAAAGTGCAGAATGGATTCGGGAGTATAAAATTGGCCAGGAAAACCTTTTTACTGTTTGGCCCTTCTGTGAAGTCTGAGTACCCACCAAAAACAATATTCCTTCCGGAATGGACATTTCCCCCCATTTCGTTAATCATGAGTCCATCTCTGCACTTAACCCTCACTCATTACATTAGGGACATAAACTTCAGTCATTTGGTGATGAATGTCTGCAGTTGATATGTTTCTCGCAGTCAAAAAAATATCTTGCATGCAATGGGAGATTCAATAATTTAACAACTTTTTTAGACTCACAGCTATATGTAGTTACAAAGCTGCAAATGGCATCGTTCTGTTCACAAATGATGCCAGTAAGCGGTGAGGAAACTCATTGCAGCGTACAAGCGAACTCAGAAGCTGCAAACTTACACACAAACGGCCCTTAGGCCTACTAAAAGAACGAGACCCTTGTAATTTCTTTTCACTAGGCCAAAGTTATTTGTCATGTAAAATTAACAGAACCAACCTTGATTCCATCTTGATCCTTGACTAGACTGGACACGCCACTATCCTCAGCTTGGGTTAGTCGCCAGGGTCGGATGTAGTTTGTGTGGGGCAGAGAACCAAGACTCTCACAGTACAGTTCCTTCAGCAGCTCTTTAGCAATATGGGGAACCAAGGACATCTGAAATTCAAACTTGTATGTTATATCTTACAGTGAAGTAGCCAAAAATGATTTTCAGTAGGGGTTTGACCTCAGGGGATCCCAAATATGAGGATCTGGTTGTCTTGCACCTATTTGGGTTAAAACACTGTTTTGTGCTTATTTTTAGGTACAAACCGTGTAATTTATAATTTTCTGTGTATATTCAGCTTACATATTACTTTTTGAGGGGTGGGAGGGATTAATCCCGATATCACTCCCTGGCTACACACCTGATTGGAGGAAGCCCACCTAACAGTGGTGTGGTATAGCGCTAATGGCTTTCACACTCAGCTGATCCAAAAATCCTATACTGCAGCGGGTAGCCTGCTAAAAAGTTGAGCACCCGTGTTTCTTCCGAGACTTGAAGTGTTACTGAACTGGAAAATTAACGACTACACCACTGGCACCTAAAATAATTAGTGAGCGGCTCAGGTGGACTTTGATGAGAAGGCTAGATTTCAATTGAGTTGCAAAACAAAATTTGATTTGTAAAACAAATTTAATAATGAAACATGCTACTTTTTACAATACTGTATAAGCCTATACACGGAGTATAAACTGTACGTAGGCTATTTGAATTTTATATACTATTAGTATAAGATAGGGGAAAACAGGATATGTAAAAATTGTGCATAATAATGTATTTGAATAGGTAGGTAGGCCTAAGCTAAGTTACCAAATAAAGTACCTCTGCCGCAGCAAACCTTACCAAATACCAAATTTTAATTTATTTTATATTTTTGCTGGGAAATATTTTTTTTAAATTGTCGGATTTATTCACTACGGTATTGATAACATAAAATTTAATGATTACGGTGTTTATAGGTTTGCTGCTATACAGGGAGGGTAATTCTATTATAATGTTACTATTATAATGTTATAGGGTAATAATGTTATTGAAATAAATGTTAATATATATGAAGTAAATAAATTTTCCAATTTTGGTTTTAAGAAGTAAAATGTAATTTATCCCTATACAAGTTATCCATACTAAGTACTAAAGTTTATTTATCCTCCTAACATGGGGATTTTAAATTTAGTTTTTTTTAATCTTCTCCAAAACTATATATTTTTTAAATAATTTGCCTAGTTATAAACTTAAGTGGGGACACCACCTAGGTGTATGTTTGAACTCAAATATGGGTGAAGGTTGAGAGTAAAATGGAGTAAAATGATCTGTGTGGATTTGTTACTGACCAGGATCAGCTGTTTTATTAGCCAGGGTCATTTATTTAAAGTTCCATGATCAGGAACAGCCGAACCAGAAGCTAAGTGTTTCAAACCACCAAAAAGTTACTCATTTCTCTCGGGATCGATCCGGCAAGCTTTTGATTCCCAGGTGAGTAAACTACCTTTCAAAGTCAAAGTCAAAGATTTGTATTGTCTTTAAACACATGTGTGCAATTGACAGTTCTGTCTCTGTCAGTGCCGTGATCGGGTTGCAATAAGTGTTGTAGGCCTACATGAAAATGTTTTGTTCGTGCGTGTTAAATGTATGTACAGTTTTATGTGTAAATATAAATTTCTACAACTTGACAAATCCAATTCGGATGGCATAATGTTTCAATGTTTCTGTATACCACTTGAAAATGCCAACATGGCGAAACATATAGTGGATTAAAAAACACACTATTTGAAGTTTGAACTGCAAGACGAGGTATGTTTTATTTTAGTCTATACTAAGCAGTTCAGGGGCTAAAAAATGGAATGTAATGCTTAACCTATAATTTTTAGTACCAAGTATTTTTTGTGTTTTTGCCACTTGATTATGTACCTATTTCAAAAATGCCATGTAGGCTTTTCATCAGAAACAGCATACGTAGTGTCCAGAAATTTAAATTCAATTTTACAAACTTGGCATGAAGGCTAACTTAGACTTAACTTAGAACTGCAAAATAAGCCTTAAGGACAGTTCGGCCAAAGTTTCTGTGCATGCGACCACATCTGGTTGGGTCTAGGCAAGGGGGTACTTTTGTAAAAACATTTTTGTCTTGCTAACCACTCGCCCCTACCTCCAGCACTGCCAATAACCAGTACCCGTATGTTTTAGTTCGGCTAGTAGCAACCCGTCCACGGGCACAGAAGTTTTGGCCGAACTGTACCTAGGAATACTCAGGCCCGCAGTTTGCATGTGCCGCACTATATGTTCAAGATATAATTACAGCCCACCCCCTTTTCTTGCGGGGAATTTTTGCTTCCAAAAACTTAAGACCTAAAACCTGCGCCCTTGGGTCTACTGTAACAGTTAGAGCCTAAATATACTTCCAATACATCTATAACTTGACCTTCCATAAATTGTGGTTCGGACTCCACTATAAACTGTAGGTCCCTTAATTGTCATTGGCTGTATGGGCTAACTTATTTACCGGTAACAATTCTGTCTAAGGAACATGTCGGTAACAAGATTACAAGGTCACACCACTATACTCTTCTCCATTCATAATAGCTTACCTACCTTCAAATGGTCGCCATTTTATTAAAGTACGGTATTAATTTAGCCTAACTTACCTAATTGTTTTTCACTGACATTTCAAAGAACTTAACAGTTTAATAGTATAGAAGGTGTCCTGGAACTCTCTACCAAAATTTTAGAGCATTGTTCCTGAGTAAGAAACATATCTAAATACCATATTTAAATTGTCTGGAAGTCCCTATTTACTTACACAGGCCATTTGGTTTTTTCATTTATTAATTTTTTTCTAAAGAATGGTTAAACATACGAAATTGAAACTTTGCACAAACATTTATGACAGCTAGACAAAGCTAGCCTACCAAAAAATTATCACAATTTAAAAAATACATTTAACAAAATGGCGGCAATTAAAAATTGTGTTTCCTAAATACCGTAGCCTAGAACTCAAAAACCGTTTACAAATATTTAACAATATTTTACAAATATTACTTTTTAAGGCAATTTAATAACAAATCGATTGACACCTTGTTTTAGACGAGATTAGACGAATATTAACTGAGATAATGGCAGCTTTAGTAATATGTGACCGCTGGAGATTAGTTGCAGTGCATGCTGGAAGCGGTCACGCATCACTAAAGCTGCCATATCTCAGTTAATATTTGTCCAAATAAGGTGTCAATCAATTTGTAATGATATTGCCTTAAAAAAGTTATTCTTGTAAAACAAAATAATAAAATCAAAATTTTAAATGACCGCCATTTTGTTTTATGAATTTGAAAAATTATCTTAACTTTTTTGGTAAGTTAGCTTTGTCTAAGTTAAGTTGTCGTAAATGTTTGTGCAAGTTTCAATTTCGTATGTTTAACCGTTCTTTAGAAAACAATTAACTTAATAAGTGAAAAAATGGCGGCCGTGTGAGTAACTAAAAACTTCCGGACAATTTAAATATGGTATTTAGATAGGCCTATGTCTCTTACTCAGGAACAATGCTCTAAAATTTTTTTAGAGTTCCAGGAAACCCTGTATATTACGTTATAAGTCCTGAAAATAGATGTTTTCCAGAAGTGTGGTCGTTCCTGTGCGAGATAAAGTCGAGTGCGGGATTAACTTACCATACGAGTCCGGAAAATACAATATGGACAAGTGAGGTAAGTTACGATATGTTACACCATCTTACTCTAAGGCTATAACATATCAATAAAAAAATCTGTACAAATCCTCATAAATTCCCAGCCGACAAAAGGACTAACAATCACTACTTATAACCTCTATTAAAGGGGTTATATTTCATATATATCATTGCCAAATATAACCGGCTGGTTGATGTCCGGTAAAAACTCATTCCCCACCTTCCAGCAGTAGGCCTAAGTTACTCTAATGCAGTCATATTTGCCTTGTGAAGGCTACCTTGGTTAAGGGTCGTAGTGTGTTGGTAGTTGTATCATTGCTAGTCCGTTTCTTGGAACGAATACGTCAATCTTACGTGTCAATACCCTTTGTGTGTAACTTAGTAAAATGGCCGGCTAAGTGTAACTTATAGGCTAGTAAAAAACGGCCGGCAGTACGTCAAATTTACGTATTGATACCCTTAACGTCACACTGTATGATGATACCTTACTGTATGCAATTTTTATGTAAGTTGCTTCAAATTCACATAGGCCTATTGATACCCTAAGCGATGCCTTCCTAGAGTTAGTAAATGTTTTGCACACGAATATAAGATACCAGTAGGCCTAGGCCGAACTTAGTTTGTTTTGTTTTATCCATTTTGTTTAAGCCTTAATTACACTAGAATAAGGTATGCTAATACAACTTGTAGGTGTAGGCTTACCTTTTTCCGAGTGATCCTTCTGATTTTAAATGGTAAGTTAAAGTTGCACAGGTAAGAACAGGTCACAGTACTGCGATGGTAAAGTACAAGTAAAGTTACTTAACTTTACTACCCTACCACCCTTGAATAAAATGTAACTTGTAACTTAATATTATGTAAATGTGTTAGCCGAAGCCGACTCACTCACTAAAATCTTGTTAGCAGTGGAATCTTCTTAACTGATTGGTCCTAAATCAATCAATCTAAATCTATCTTCCAGTTTGATTGTTTCCTTTTCCTAAAACAAAAACGGCAATTCCTATCCTATTATATTCTTGTAGTAAATCGTAATCGTTCCTATCCTATCGTCGTAATCGTAATTATGCGAATAAAAAGAAGATTTGGCGGGAATATGAAGAAGAACACTTTGAAAAAAAATATTTGTTTTGTTTTGTTGTGTATTTGCACCATAGACATACGACGTGACGATAGATTATTAGATCACAATGAGCACTGACTGAGCTATAATAAGATCACAACAAAACCATAATGGTTCAAAATACTTATTATACCAATCGTAATAATTACAATAGGTAACGTCAAAGAACTATGCTAAAAATATATATAATGAAATTATATAAATAAAATAAAATGTTAACCATTGCAAACCATGCTGAAATTGGTTATTCTCACACAGCAAACAGCAATGGTCCCAGGGGTGGAAGGGAGGGATATATCCCCCCCCCAAAATATTTGATATTTTATTAGCTAACATAAATACTATTAACTTGGTCATATTTTAGAGCTCAAATGCTTATTTAGGCTTTAAATTCCACACTTTTTCTGGGGAGGGGGGGTACCCCCGGTGGTCGTCCCTCCCCCGAAATGAAATCTTAGGACCGCCACTGGCGACAAACCACGCAGTTATGGACGTTGAAAATATTGCAAACTAAAACCAAAACATTGGCCAGCCTCCACAGCATCATAAAACTTAAAAATTATAAAGAGGATTCGTCTCGAGCCAATTTTTTACAATTGTGACAAATGTGACTTTCGCAACAACCGAGCACTTTCCACACTAGCCTGAAGTAATGTGAAAAACAATTCCGGGCTCGTGCCTAGCGTCCTAGGACAAAAAAAGGTGTCTTTACATTTTAGATTTTGTGTTACCCCCATCCCAAAATAACAACATTTTGGGTTTTCGGACGAAATTTGGAATATTGGGATACCAACCAAGAAGTGAACTTTTATCCTATGTAGATTGTAGATTTGTGCTGAGTTTGGTTTTCCACCCATTAAAAAGTTAATAGGGGGTGTCCATACTTTTGCCCAACTCTGTATTACAATTAAAATTGTACCTGGTTACAGCCTGTATACATATTTGTAATGTTTTCAGCAGTAAACATTTTTGTATGACGTGTGAAATTGACTGCAGTGGATTGTGGCATTGTGTTATAAAATCAAGTCAGCCGTCAGCCAACAGGCAAAAAAAAGAAGAAAAATATGCAGTAAACAAATTCACATTTTTTGATTAGGCTAGCTGCAGAAGTTATGTAGTTCTAGTTCGTAGTTTCCGTGTTTGAGGTTATAAGTTGATATACTAAACCAGCCAAAATGATCTTCAATCTTCTTAGTTATTTCAGTTCCGAGTCTTCTTAATAAAATATAAATATGGGTATCGAAAGCGAAGATACTGCATTTTTAGGCCTATTTGCCCCAATCGAAAGTGGTAGGTCTCTTAAATATTCTTAACTTAGGCCTAGGCTACTCTTGATACTCTTTTTGTAGGCTACGAGGGTTACCCTACCCTACAATAACATTTCAAAGTCAATCCCCGACAAGGGAAAGGGAGGATCGTAAGAAAATGTAATGTAAATCTTTTACTTCCTACTTGCAAAAATAGGATAGTCTAGGTCAGAAAAAATGTTGCTTTACTAGGCCTATATAAATTATAAATTGCTAGGCCTACTAGGCTACTTTAACAGCTAACCAATAGCGCCAATCCTTTCAGTTAGCTTAATTCACTAGGCCCTAACTTACTGGTTTTCAAGTTGGTCATTTTTCGGAATTAGCGCTAAAAAACGAACAGATAAAAAAAAATTAGAGCTCGTTGACTGGAGGTCGCCATAATTACCCACTTAAAACATTGGTACACTTATAGGCCTAATTCCCTACCCAGTTCCTACAGAAAATTTTTTGCCGGTTTTCTTTCCATGTCCTGTTTGGTATTGTCGTAACCCCAGAATTTTTCCGTACAGTTTTCTTTGTTTTTCCTTTTGGTTTCCCGTCTCTTCCCTTAGGCTAGCGAGGCCGAACCGCTCGAACCTAAACATGAACAAGCTCATCACAGGTAGCCTAGGCTAAATAAATTGGTTAGTTAATTAGGAATGTTTTCTTTTAGAAAAATTGTAAACCTAGGTGGAGGTAACTTTCTACAGAGCCAGTTTTTTTTTACCTTGTACGTATCAGTATTGTAGCTATCTTACTTCTGTTTCCTTATTATTTTTTTTTTTTTATGCTGAAAATGTTGAAATTTACTTAACTTATATCTTTTGGAACTGATAAAGGTATTGTAAAACCAAATATTTTATATATTACAATTCCGGGGCTACAACAATGAATTTTATTAACTTACCGTACCGTTATGTATGTAGCCTACAGTATTTGAGTTAGCCTTACCTTTATTACACTTTGTTTGAGGAAACTTACCGTGATAACCTTACCTAGTCACTAATCTATGTCGGGTTATGTTTTTTATAACTTATGGCATGTGTTTAATTAAGGGCTTAGGTTTAAGAGATTGTTTTAAATATCAACATTCTTATCAGTAGGCCTACCAAAGTGCAATTTTATCTTTCGTTAGCAATCTGTTAATTGGAAGCAGTTCCCTTCTCAGAAGGTTCTAAGCTACAAGACAGTAAGTTAGGCCTATATTAAGTTAGGCCTAATGTGTTGTTAAAAAAATGTATTTTGTTACCATAAGAAGTGCAATAAGTTCACTTAACTTGCTTTTGATGCAAAATAACCGGAGTACTTTTAAGTTTACAATTGGTTACAGGTCAATGTGAGATATGCGGGGAACGTCACATTGTAGATAGCTGTACGCTGATAGAAGGATTCACCGATCACATATGCGACACTCCCACCCTCTCATATGCTCGCCTCACATTGCCAGACGGACTTGAAGTACGAGAATTGTCTGACGGGTCAAAAACTGTTATTACCACCAAACCGATATCCAAAGGATTGAAGTTTGGACCATTCATTGCCAAGACTTCTACGTTGATTGATGTCAGAATTGAGTTTCCAATTAAGGTAAATAATTTGTAACAAGATAAGTTAAGTCCAAGTGTTTTAAAGATAAGTTTAGCTGTAAATTACAGGGCCTGCAGCTAAAAAGAAGCTGCTCCATTTTTGTAAAAAGTTTATTTACAGAATCAGAATCGTTTAAAGCCATAATACCAATTAATTTAAACAATTTTATACTTTGAATTTATTATTGGAAAAGAAACTTAGGTCCTAATATTTTACGTATTTTTAAACGTAGAAAATATTGTAGACTTACTGTCTAGAAAATGACTATAAGTGGAGCTAACAATCTTGCTCCAAGCTTAAAACACACTTTTTTAATTCCAAGTTAATTAAAGAAAAACCAACAAAAACTATAGTTTTGTAATTATTAACATTTTTGCTAGCTACAAAAAATCTTTAAGGACAAAAAGAGATCATTTAGGTTACTTTAGGCTACATGTTTATTAACCACCTTAAAAAAAAAAAAAAAAAACGAGATTAGAGAGCTAGAAAAGTCAAAATGTAGACATATTCTTCTGAAAACCAAACTGGCTATTGTTTTATATTATTTTCTCTAATTAACTGTAAGAAATGTTTCAAACATTCAATTTCAAAGATTTTACTAAAGCATAATTGGACTGTAATTGGCCTTTGATTAGGCTTTCTCAACTGTGGTTCATTCTTTTTTAATGAAAGAACAACCCTGGATGTTTTAACCTTTTAGGAGTTATAAATCCAGTTTCATAGATTTATTGTTAACCACAGTCAGAGCATCAGCAATTCCACACACACACAAGACCTAAGTTGGCTGTTTGGGATCCCATCACCCATAGCTCTTCTTGGATTCCATTGAGCAGATAACCTTGCTCACTTCGGCCGCAGTTGTCTGGGTCAGAACAAATCTTCCCTATTAGAAGTTAGGACAGAGCAAATAGGCAAAGCTGTTATTCGCTAATCTTAAGATTCAATCCAAAAAGTATTCACAGAAATTATTCACAACTGTATGGGTATCCTTAACTATCACGTGGTGTATCTTAAAATTTGAATGAGGTTTGAATGAGTGTTGTAACTTTCTAGTTTTAGGTGTGTACATCGGTTAGATCGATGGTGGTGGTATATTTAAACAGTGGGCGTGTTTCCAGGTATTTCTAAATGAATCAGAGAGCGTTTATCTAGAAACTTATGAAGAAATATTTTGCAATTGGATGTGCCTTGTGCTTCCTGCCAGCTCAGCTGAGGAGCAAAATATGATATGTTTCCAGGTGAGAATAGATCTTTTATTAAAAACTAACTTGTTCATAAATTGTACTAGTTGCATAGGTTAAAAAAATTATAAATTAAAATTTTAAAAAGTAAGCTAATTTAAACTTAAAAATGTTACATGTTTCTATTACAGTTAAGCATAATCGGCATAAATACCCTGGTCGCATGGTTGCACTGGTCCTGACTACTTATGATTTTTTAATTTCTATGATGGATAGATGATTTTATTTTATTTAAAGTGAAGAAAAATAATTTGCAAAGTAATAATTATTATTTATAAATACATGAAAATTTAACCTAGTAGTGGCCTAGGCGTGTAAACAACTTAAGAAAATAATTAAAATTCAATCTGTAGGATGGAAGGCTAATAATATTTTTGTTCTAGATCTTTTGTTGGTATCAATGGTATAGTATAGTAACTAATTTCATAAACTTGTGATACAAAACATTTAAATCTATAGCACAATAAATCTTTCAAAACTATATTAAGTTAGACCAAAAAACAGGAGATACATTTTTTTAGTAGGTTTATCCAAATATATTATTTTTTCCAACTAAGTGGTAACACAGAAAAGTTTAATTACTTTTAGTATTCTGCCATTCTGCCTTAGGTCTGTCTAGCCTTCCAAGCCATTTATACGATACAATTTTTTAACTATCATAATTTAATAACAGTAGAAGTAGGTTTCGGTTCACTATTTCTCTGACGAGGTGTTGTCTTGATAAAAAACGAAACCCAATTCTTATTTAAAAACTTTATATTTTATTTTAAAAAGTGCTAAATCATTAAATAAAAGGTACTAGCAAAGCTTCAAGTTACTGTAAAAGGTGTTATAGACTATCCTAATTTTTCATGTAATGATAACAATAACATATTTAGGGGTGAATATAAATGAATTTAAATCGATTTCATATACCCAAAATACCCGGGTATTTATGGATTTTGGGGTAAATACCTAGGGTATTTACCCTGAGTTTTAAATACCCGGGTATTTTACATCACTAACTACGGTAGTAATTATAATTTTTGTATAGTATAACTTTTCGATAATTCAACACGGGCCGTAATGACATTACATTTCGGCAGTGGCCAATGACGGATTCACCAAGGTCAAAACACTAGAGCCTTCTTGTTGTTTCATGCAAGGAAAAACTCAATACTTTAACTATCCAATTAGTTACGCCCAAATACAATTGATTAAATCATAATTATTATAAGAGCACAGTTTTTTTTAATAGCCGTTATAAAGAGCACACTTAAAGCACACTTTTTTGTATACATTTAAAAAAGTGTGCTGGAATGGGCGGGCCAGCTTCACGTCGCTCATATACCACCTATAGTTTGATATTTCGCCACCCCCTTAGAACGTTCGACGATGGCCAAGAATCGACCCCTGAGATAATCCAAATGTAAGGCAACGGCTGTTCATACTTAAACTGTTTTTTTGTGTGTTAAATCTTGATATGGTACTAAATCCGTTGTACCTGGACAATAAATGTTTTGCCCTGAAATGGGTCACTTTTGTAAGTAGGGGTAAAATGTAAAAAAATATCCTAAAACTTTCACTATCTCTTGTTTGTCACAAAATTAATCTGATTGAGATCATATTTACAGTGTCAATAAACTTTTGCAGGTAAAAGGAAGTATTTATTTCTGTAGCCTGCGAAATATTGAAAAAGGCGAAGAGCTTCGTGTTTGGTATGCTCCGTACTATGCTGAAAAAATGGGTGCTCACTCATTCCCAAGACCATCCAAATTAATACACAGCTCCGATGAAGAATTCCAGGAAATTTTTGAGTCTGTTGGTATTTTCTCATGTTTTTACAAGAAGTATTGTATATATTAAACTCTTTAGTATAGGGTAAGAAAAGACATAAAACATTGAGTTTTGTTGCTTCATCTTGTTTACTGGGTGCAAAATTTATGTTATGTGTCAAGTAGGAAATGAGCTTAAGTTAAGCTTAAGTTTAAGTACTAGTTAAGCTACTTGCAGCTTAAGTTGTTGGCCATCGTTAGTAGAATAAGGATAGATCTCTAAGGTTTTAGAATAAATTTCTACATTGCACACCTCCCTCCAAAAAAAATGTGCAATCTTTTGTGTTGAAAGATAACAATAGAAAGTGGTTTTGTAAAGGCCAATTTTTAAATGTGTTAGTTCTAATAATAGATAAAATAGCAACCGTAGAGTTCCTTCTGCAATAAAATTCCAATTGCATCTTTTTATCTGGAAAACAGTGTCCTCAAAATAGTTGTGTAAATTGTATCATAATTATTCACAAACATTGATTTTAAAAATCAAAACAATCAATGGTATGGTAGTTTCAAAAACTATATTTTATATAATGTAAAATGTTTTTGCATTAATATAAAACACTTGCTTGTGTTTTAACAGTTACAAAGGGGGATTGAAATGCAAGATCATCAATACCTCCCCAAGTTAAGGAAAAGAAGAAGACCACCAAAAAAGTTAATGCATGAAGAAAGTAAGTGTTACAAAAACCCTATAAAGTAAGCAATAATTGTTATACATAGGCAATCATTACTAGGATTGCTTTCATAGCAGTGAAAGCCAGTTGAGGGGAGAGATCACGTTTCATGGTTTTTAATAAAGCAATAAGTAAAAAAATGTTTTTAGTTATAATAAACAGTTAACTATTTCATCATTTTAACTTATCAGTTTTTCTAAGAACTATCCAACATCTATAACAAGTTTCATAAGTAAAGATGTGGACATTACATACATAGGTATCCCTTTCCTACTAGTCACCTAACAAAGTGGGTTTCCTTGCAATGATTATAATACAAACAGTTTCTAATTGCTGCATTTACTTTCTTTTCCCTCACTCCAGTACTCCAACCAAACAACACAAAACAGCGTGCTTTTATTAGGCACGTAATACGTGTACGCTTGAAAATAAGTTGGCAACACTTAAAGATACTACCACTACGATCAGCTGTTGCAGTCATATCATTCAACGCTTGGATTTAACCTAACCTAAAACGTGGTGTTTGGTGTTTGAAAGACTAATTATTTCTATGCTTTATTATAACTGTAGAAAAAATATAATATGTAGCCTACGAGTGCAAATTGCCACTTCGCATTTACTAGTTGACAACACAAGTGACTACTATTTCATCAGTATTTTTCCTGTGTTTGCTTGCTAATGTCATCTGGTGATCCAACCACAGTTCTGGTTGATCCCGACCTTGAACCTAAACCAATCGACATTTTCTCAATCTTGGCCTGATTTTGCAATTCAGGCAGAAATCATCCTGCATGGATCCATATGATTACAAGATGTAACTTTTCATAGACTTGGCTGTTTTGAGAGAATTGTACAAATAGTTGTCACCATACCTTATGAGGTTTGTTTTCTTAAATTTTGTACATTTAGGCCTGCAGGACGTCCAGTCGGGAATTTCGGGAAATTCGAGTAAAAGTCGGGGATTTTTAAAGGTCAGGAAAAGTCGTAAGAAAGTAATGAATTTCAACCGCCTTCAAAATTAGAGCTAAACAGGTTCCAAAACTTGAAATTTTTTTAGAAAAAGCGTTCCAAAACTCTGCACTGCTAGCCTTTACTACTTCCTCCACCACTGCCTACATCGTGGACCTGTTTTCCTTCCTTCCCATAGCATTTTAATATTTGAGATACGTTAATCTAACTGCCCCAAAGCGTTCCCACACTCTGCACTGCTAGCCTTTACTACTTCCTTCACCACTTCCTACGTTTAGAATTGATAGATTTTGGTATCGACACTCACTATTTGTTGAAAAATAACGTCTTGAAAAATATGGAATTAGTCTTTAATTTTAAAATGGAAATAAACTAGACACCCTGTAGGTATTATCAAATATTGAAATTGGCTTTGTCTAAACCTTCCAAACATTTGACAAAACAACATTGGTAAGTTTGGCTAAAATATGTTCAGCCGTTATTGAGTTAAGGTGTTAGAAAGTTTGCATTGAAGTCGATCCCTAAGAGCTTCGCTTCGCTCCGTTCAAATATAATTTTCACTAGGTTAATCAGGTTTCTTTCAAAACACCTGTGCATGTTTAATTTCAGTGCTGTAGTTCTAAAAACGGTAAGGCGCATGGATTATATGATCATGAGCATGAATACATGATTATAAGGTACTTTGGTAATATAACAACCACACCGATAAATCCATTATTAAATAAAATTTTAATTAGTTGAAATAACAAAATCTTCCTAACCTAACCTTACCTTTTGTTTATAATTTTGTGAAATATTCAATTGTATGTGAAATGTTCAGCTGGGATTTTATAATACAGATAATTTATTTATTTGGTCACTCACACTCTACATACTTTTGGGATATATCCACATTGTTTGGTTCTATAGCAAGGTAGATCGGTAAATTCACCTTAGCACAACTTTGCATCTAAATACTAATTAGAAATGTTATGGAGAAAGTGAGTTAGACCAGGTTCTGTAAGAATCTATCTGATTCTAAGCCTATTCAGTATACTTTTGCAAATAAGCGAGATGGACCAGGATGTGTAAGAATGTATTTACCTCAGATTACTACCGTGAGATGCCGCCTGATGTGCTCCCAGGAGAGTTACTGGGTGCCGAGCGTCGCAGTGAGTGGGAGTGTTCCACCTGCGGCCAGGTGGAGGAGAACGTAGCTGCGTTTGCTCGACATCTCAGGACTCATCTCCGCCTGTCAAAACCCTCTCTGCGCTGCCCGCATTGCAAGGTCAACTTCCGCAAGGACATTGTGAGTAAACATTGATTCATGGAATTCTACTGTAGACATTCTCCAATTCGTGGCTTAATAATTATTTTTCCCTAATATTAGAATGCACTTAAAACTTTTCAAACACAATCCATGTCCAATGGTTATTTTAAATACTTTCTTTACTGTTGAGAGTGGTCAGTGGATTTTCGTGTAGTAATGTCATATAATAAAAATACTACACTGGCCATTCGATTCTTTCTTTTTTTGTAAGACAACCACCACTATCCAACCATTGCTTATATTATATTTCAAATCTAATTTAAGCAACAGAAAACTCATTTTTTATAAAAAATTATTATATTTTTGCTTTTGAATACATAAAAAGGGTTAAATTATCTGATTTCTTTTTCAGATTGATCCAATTTAGTTGATCAATCCAACAGTAATACCTATAACCTTTAATTCTTCATAAAATTCAACGGTATTCTATAATATTTCCTATGTATAAAAGAATTCTATAATCATATTTTCTGTTCCAGAGTTATCGAATACATCTAGAAATATGTAACAAAAAAGCACTGGAAAAAAACTCTAATGCAAAAAATTTATCAGACTTAGGCCTAAACCAAACCATTTATACTGTAAAAGTCGTGAACCCTGGTGCAGCAATATCGTCAGACGTTATTAGTGTGGATGATAACAATGTTACTAGTCAGTCAGTCAATGTCGACATTTCAAAAAACCTACATCCAGAAGCATTTACGAACTGTAAACCTGATAGTTCAAGTATCGATACAAGCAAGAGCATGGATTTAGCAAATAACGCTTGGAACATTTCAGAACGACATGGGGAGACGGACAAAAGTGAAACTATTGCTACACAATCAGCGTGTCTGAGGCCTGAAGACAAGATTGATAAGAATAAAAATTGCAAGTTTCAACAGCTACAAAATGGAGAAGAAAACATGGAAGAAAATCTTATTGTAAAATCTCATTTGAACCCTCCAATACTTGACCTGAGCGATGATATTGACTTTCACCTGACCAAGTCCTTTGACGAAATGATCAGTGACGACTGTAACTTGAAACATAGTAGAACTTTGGATTTGTTCGGAACAGTGGAGCCGTCCTTGATACCCCCTGATGTTACCAATCCTCATAACTCGTCTTTGGAATCAACATCTTTCTATTCCCTCGAGAAAAACGAATTCCTTCAGACAGATTTTGCTACTTGCAATGATGTTACAGATGAAGAAAGGAACAGAATCGTTGAAAAGTTACTGACTGAGACGGAAGATAATTTTTTTGCCAGTGACTATGAAATAACCGATGGGTGTTGCAGCGATAATGCGAAAGTGGATCAGACAAATGAAGAGACACACGCAAACAAAGTAGTGACGAGAGATAATCAATCTAAGGTAAGAACGATTTGTCAATTGTACAGTTTTATTTTACTATTTGTGTTGTTAGATCAACTGTTTCAAACAAAAATCTTAATAGTTATAGTTATGACACTTTGGTAAATCATATTTATCAAGATTTTTTTGCAAGAGGGGAAAAAATCTGTTTGCTGATGCCTTTGCACACTAAGGGTATGTGGGGATGCCACTTTCCAATTCTTCCGGGCAACCCACTAAAAACAACCCCTAACTAGCCACAGGATCACCTTTCAGCATTACTGTTAGCAGCATTACTGCATATCTGGTCAGGATGGTTTTTACTGTTTCAGTTCAACAGCTTTTCTCTTCCATAACCTCACGTATGAAACTTTCTGTTGTTTTTCAGTTATCTTCTTTCTCTAACATTATTGATTAGATTATCAGCTCTGACCCTCTGGCTGAGGCTTTCCTCCATATTTTGAGGCTCGTTTTCAAACTTTGGGCACCAAAAGATTGCATGCTCTCTCTCGTCTCTGAGGTTTCCATAGTGTAAAAAAAGGTATCTGCCTCGACCTTTTGAATCCTCACGAGGTAACTTCTGAAGGCTCCATATCCTGTCATAACTTAAATGAGTTCGGAAACCAGCATGATCGGACCATAGGAACGAGGATTTACAGGGTATTTTATTGGGTAAAAATTGTTTTTTCTCATTTTTGACCCTCAAAACACAAAATTTCTCTAGACCATTTTTAAGAACTTTAAAAACCAAATAATTGTTTGTACATTTATTACTTACGGTGAAAATTAAAAAAAACTGTAAGTTTAAAATTCTCATGTATTTTTAATGGAGAATATTGTAAAATGTTGTAGTTTGCTTGTTTATGGATAAATTTTGATTAAACTTGGCAAATTTATTTATTTTATGCTAAGCTATTTATTAATATTTTACTAAAAACACTTAATTACCCTCCCTGAAGCAGCAAACCTATGTACTTGTTAAACCTAATGCTAATGAAAATTCAATCAGGCAAATGGAATGGAAATTCGCTTAGTCTGCAGGTTTGCTGCTGCGGGAATATTTTGCTCTTGAGGCGATCTATACCTTATCAGTTTCCTCTGAAGCAGTCTGCTTTATCTTCATAGACTTCTGTAGGCCTGGATGTTACTTTATTAGAAGGTCGATTGGTAGCGTTCCAGCCATATCAAAATTAAATTTCACCCTGAATACTATACTATAAACATAAAGCTAGGTGAAGCTAAAACATTAATTCATATTTTAGGCCTACACCATGCAAACTAATTAAAAATAATGTTTGTTTAGATTGTTGAAATTGGTACTCAGTTGCCATTTTTTTGTCATTGGCTTTTAATTAATGATTAGTCTAAGTAAACAACCTTTTTTCTGTGCAATGTTTTCAACACTTGTTGATCATATTTGTTCTTTCCAGCCAGGTGGAGATTTCAAATGTGATATTTGTTCCAAAGCCTTTACCAAGTCAATATACCTATACAGACACCTAAGAAAACACACTGGGGAGTTCAAGTGCAACAGCTGTTTTATGGTAGGTTGGTTAATATTTAATAAATAAAATTGCAACTTAACTTTGGCTCGGCTATTGATATTATTCATCAATATAATGACAGCCATGGATGAAACGTGACCTTAGACTTAACAATACAGAAGTTCCAGTAAATTAAAATTTTAAGATGCAGAAGTTTACTAATTTAATTTAAGTCAGCCTTGAATCTAAATAAGTTCTCATTGATAACCTTTCAAGATTAGAGGCGGTTTTTACGTGATCGAAACAAGCCCCAGCTGTCCTTTGTATATTGGGCATTTATAACATGAGATGTCCTCTATGATCTGTAAAATGAAACTCAGAATATACTGGCTATACTCTATCAAAATGTGTAGTCACTGAAAAATGGGCCTACTGTGGGTAAGATAATCGGCTGAGGTATTGATACGCTGGGCTTTCTTTTGTAGGAGCAGGATTATAGAAAATGTTGGTGATTGTCTCCATAATACAATGCCATAGGTGATATGGCTATGAAAAACTGTATGGTAGACATTAATCAAATATCTTTTTGTAACAACATATTTTAGCTTCCTTAACAAAAAAATAGCTTTTGAAAACATGGTACAAACCTGCAGGACATGGTCATTCCATGTTAGTTTAGTGTCCAGCTAGAAGCCCAAAGGATTTACAGGTTCAGAAAATACTTCGGGAACATTTCACTTAAGAGTGTAATGGATAGATTGATCCTTCTCTGCATTGAGTTGAAGTTTGTAAGCTAAGATAAGAACCACTCCTACAACAGGCTGTCTGCCTTTACTGAAACTCCTTAAGATGTCCTGTCTTGAAATCTGGTTGCGTCTGCAAAGAGCTGAGACTGGTGATCGTATTATTAATTGTGTTCATCATAATTATTGTGTACATTACCTATAAGCGTATTGTAATTTAGTCAGGATGGGAATCAAACAATTGTTAAATCTATTGCACAATATTTTTCTTTATCCCCCTGTAGTTGAAAACAAACCGTGAGTGATGCATATGTCACATATATGGTGGAGAATGTTATGGTATTTACAGTTAGTTTGGTCAATGTAGTGTATTTCATATATTTATTTTATTTATTTATTTATTAAACATCATCACATTACATCAATTCTCTTGACAGGTGATTTGTCACAAAGTCTAATACTAATACTATACTACATTTTAAAATAAAATAGCTTACAAAAGAAATAAAGCATATAATAAGCTACAAACCTATGGGAGAAGCAATATCTTTCAAATATACTCATTTTCCAGATATTCCTCTAACGAGTAAAATGCCCTCTCCAAAAGGAAATTTTTTAAAGATAGTTTAAATTTAGAGAATGAGGCAATGTTTTTAATCCCAGCGGGTAATTTATTGTAAATTTTTGGTCCCATATACTGAGGGGATAAATGAAAGATTTTAAGCCTATGTTGAACTGGTTTTATAATATTTTTGAATCTTGTGTTATGTGGATGAGATTGTTGACAGTCCATGAATGTGTCAAAATCGCTTTTAACCATTAATGCCAATTTGTATTATATTTTATATTATTATATTATTATATTATATTATTATATTATTTGTACTATAGTACACCTTGCTGTATATAACTATTGTCAATGTATGTATCATGATGGCAGTGTTTGAGTGAATAAACCGTTGCCGTGGTCCGATCATCACGCCACCCTCAACCGACCAATCACAACACAGCCTGACCACGCTCCTATTTTCCCGGCTTTTCCTCACGGTCTTCCAGCAGCTCCCGATATGTAACCATCTCCGTGTTAGTCCCGCCCGTATCGGCCGCGGCAATTTATTACTGTAAAATGTGTATTTATTGACTCTATCTACATTCTTAAACTACGGACATTCCAATTTGGCGACGAGGATGCCTTAAAGAGCCATTCCAATTTGGCGACGAGGCAGTGAGAATTCACGTAACCGGCAAGCGGAAGAGCTGTCGCGTGTGTGCAGAAGATTGTTTCAGGCAAGCGGAAGGGCTGTCGCGTGTGAACAATTAATTGTGCGACCAACAGTAGAAGGACTGTCGCGATCGCGTCTTCAAGGAACTGTGTGTGAACTGTGCAGTGAGAGTGAAAAAGTGCAAACTGGACATTAATAGGACAGTAACGAAAGGTAAGAGTTTGCAGTGTAACGAGACATTCGGTGAGTCGTAAATTAATTTATATGTCAGGAGTTTCACCAGTTTGTATAGATAGACTATTTAACGAGTATAAAATGGCAGGTCTTATAGGGTCTATGAATGCGTTTGATGTAGCTGAAGAAACGTGGTCCTCATATATAGAGAGGTTATTAATTTTTATTGACGCTAATGACATTAAGAACGAGAAAAAAGTGTCTACTTTGTTAACGGTCATGGGTTTGAAAACGTATAATTTAGTGAAGAATTTGTGCGCACCGGATAAGCCAGCGGATAAGACATTTGATCAAATTGTGGAGTTAGTTGAAAAACATTTAAGTCCAACGCCATCGTTTATAACGGAACGTTATAAATTTAGTTTGAGAACTCAGAGAGAACATGAGTCAATCTCTGATTACGTAGTGCAATTAAAGGAACTGTCGATGTTTTGCGAATTTAAAACCAATCTGTCGGATTATTTGAGGGATAGGCTTGTGAGCGGTATCCGAAGTGACGTCATCAAGAAACGGTTACTCGGCGAGGCGGAGCTGACTTTTGAAAAGGCGGTAACCATAGCAACCAATATGGAAATGGCGGAGCGAGGTGCAGCGGCGCTGATGTCGGGCATGCAGACAGCGCGGGGTCAACAGCAGACGACGCAACTTCACTACAACGCCGGGCGGAAGGGGCCGGCGGCGGCGGCGCACAACAACAACAGTGGCAGTGGCAGTCATGGAGGCCAACGTCAACACTACCCACAACAACAACAACAGAGCCAGAGCCGGTCAACCAACTACAGGAGGGAGGAGAGAGTGTCAAGTGGAAGTGACGTGAAGTGTTTTTGCTGTGGAAAGCTAGGGCATAGGGCCAATGTGTGCAGGTTCAAGTCATATAAGTGCAATAAATGTGGAAAGCTAGGGCATTTAGCGAAGGTTTGCCGAAGCCAGGACAGGGGTAAGCCACTTACATTTCATAATTCTAGTCATAAAAAATATAGTAAGCAGCACTATGTTGATGAAAATGAAGATGGACATAATGAACAGACTACAGAGAGTGATTATGATTTAACTAATCTTTTTGCCTTAGATAATGATGAGAGTAATGTAGCAAATGATAGGGTAAGGCCTATTATGGTAAATTTGCAAGTTGAGAACAGGTCTTTGAATTTTGAAGTTGATAGTTGCGCTTGTGTAAGTGTCATTAATGAAAATTGTTACAAGGAGAATTTCAGCTCATTGGAGTTACAAAGTACAAATTTAGTATTAAGTTCATATACTAATCAGCCTATTAAGCCACTTGGTAAATTGAGCGTAAGAGTTAAGTACAGAGATGTTATGAAAGAGTTAACCTTGTATGTGATTGCTAAGGGCGCGAATCCTTTGATGGGGAGAGATTGGATTCGAGATCTTGAGGTTGTAATTAAGATACCTAACGTAAGGAGCAAAACGGTGTATGCTAACTCAGGTCAGAGTAAAGCTTTTTGTAATGTGATAGAAGGGGAGTCTAAAATCGTAAGTGAGTTGTATCAAAAGTTCCCGGAAGTATTTACAGACAAACTAGGATGTTATAAGGGCGAGTCGGCTAGGTAAGTGTTAAAAGATAATGCAGTCCCTAGATTTCTGAAGCCTAGGCCAATTCCTTTTGCCCTAAAGAGTAAAGTAGAAGCAGAGATAGATCGATTAGTAGAGGAAGGAATCTTGTCACCGGTCAGTAACAGTGAATGGGGAAGTCCGGTTGTTCCGATTATTAAAAAGTCAGGAGAGTTACGTTTGTGTGCTGATTTTCGGGCTTCTTCACTAAATGATTCCTTGGTAATTGATAGACATCCAATACCTAGAATAGAAGATCTTTTTAACACCTTACAAAAGGGTAAAACCTTCTCTAAAATCGACCTATCTCAGGCTTATCAGCAAGTGAGTTTAGATGAGCAGTCAATAAAGTTGTGTACCATAAGTACTACAAAAGGGCTTTTCATGTATAACAGAGTTCCCTATGGTGTGGCGTCAGCACCAGGTATTTTTCAAAGGATAATGGAAACCATTCTTGCAGGTATTCCAGGAGTAGTTTGTTTCCTGGATGATATTTTGATTACGGGTGAGAACAATGAGGTACATAAAGAGAGGTTAATTGAAGTGTGTAGTAAACTTAAAGCTAATGGTTTGACAGTAAGCAAGAAAAAGTGTGAGTTCTTTTGTAAATCGATTGAATATTTAGGGTATGTTTTGAGTGAGGAAGGTCTAAGTACCTCACCGTCTAAGATAAGTGCTATAGAGAAAGCTCCTATACCAACTGACGTGTCACAGCTAAAAGCATTTTTAGGCATGGTAAATTACTATGGCAAGTATGTACCCCATTTATCAACTATCGCAGCCCCTTTGTATAATTTGTTAAGAAAGGACAGTGTTTTTGAGTGGACAGCCACCTGTGATCAAGCATTTAAGCTAATCAAAAGTAAATTGGTGTCAGCACCAATATTAGCACATTACGATCCTAACTTACCTGTAAGCCTAGCTACTGATAGCTCTAGTTATGGTTTAGGGTGTGTACTAAGTCAGAGACAGAAAGACGGTTCAGAGAAACCGATTTGTTACGCTTCACGTACATTGTCAAAAGCTGAGGTAGGCTATAGTGTCATAGACAAGGAAGCACTAGGTATTGTGTATGGGGTTAAAAAATTTAACCAATATTTGTATGGTAGGAAATTCGTTTTAATTACAGACCATAAGCCTTTGTTGTCCATTTTCGGACCTAAGAAAGGGTTGCCTGCGTACGCAGCCAGCAGACTTCAGCGCTACGCGCTCTTCCTAACTAATTACGATTTTGACATTAAGTACGTGAGGTCAGAGGCAAATGCCAACGCCGATTGCCTATCTAGATTGCCCTTAAATATAAGAGATTTTCCTTTTGAGTCAGACGATGTAAACTATGTTGGCACGTATTTGCAATACATTCAAGAAAATGACATTCCTGTTAATTTTAATAATGTAAGAGAAGAGACAAAAAGGGACGTTGTGTTAAACAAAGTTTTAGGTTATGTTTTGTATGGCTGGCCAAACTACGCACCAAGTACTGACGAGAATCTAAAACCCTACTACCAGCGACAAAGTGAATTAGCTGTTGAAAACGGTATCATTATGTGGGGGCATAGAATAGTGGTACCTCAAAATTTACGGAAGTTGCTTTTGTCAGAATTACATTGTGGGCATCTCGGAATTGTTAAGATGAAAGCCATGGCCCGATCGTACTTTTGGTGGCCTGGTCTAGATGCGGATATAGAAAATTTAGCTAACAGCTGTTCACTCTGTCTGATGGTACGTCAGAGCCCAGCTAAGTGTAACTTACATGTGTGGGAACATCCCAAAAACGCATGGGAACGCCTACATGTTGATTTCTTGGGCCCTGTTAATGGTAAATTGTATCTCATCATAGTTGACACTCACAGTAAGTGGTTGGAAGTAGAAGAAGTGAGCTCTACGGCAGCCAAACAAACTATCGCTAAGCTCAGACCACTATTTGCGAGATTTGGTCTTCCCCACCAAATAGTTTCTGATAACGGACCACCGTTTACTTCTTGTGAATTTAAAGATTTTTTGAAATCTAATGGAATCACACACACATTGACACCACCATTTCACCCAGCTACAAATGGTCTAGCCGAAAACTCTGTCAAAAATGTTAAGAAAAGAATTAAGCTAGCTATTATGAGTAACGACAGTGTAGATTTATCTTTGTGTAAGTTTTTGTTAGCTTATAGAAATTCTGTGCACTTAACCACCAACGAAACCCCTGCAAAATGATGTTTAATAGACCATTAAGGTGTAGGTTAGATTTGATCAGGCCAAACCTACCACAGTTTGTACATGACCGACAGAGTAAACAGATTCAGAATTATGGCGGAAGTAAGACCCGAGTGTTGTTTGAGGGTCAGCCAGTAATTGTTCGTGACTATAGGGGTAAAAGTAAGTGGATAGAAGGTGTAGTAGTTAGACAATTAAGTGCAGTGTCTTATTTGGTTAGGTTGAAAAATGATGTAATATGGAAGTGTCATATTGACCAAATAATAGGGGTAAACAGTATACCACCCACTTTTAGTATTGACAGAGAAGCGTCTGTACCATTGTTGCCACCAGGTCCGTCAGGTGAGCAACGGCCAGTAGTAGTAGTGGGGGCATCAGCTGTTCCAGGTACACCGCCACAACAATCGCGTAGTCCAAAACCAAATACACCACACCGCGCGAGCACTACTAGGCGGAAGTCTGACGTCATAGCAGACATTCCTACTCCACATAGTATAGTAACAGCTGATAGTCCAAAACAAACAGTAGTAGACCGACGTTACCCTACTCGGGAACGTAAACCAACCAAGAAACTTGACTTGTAAAATATATGTACCTATAACAAATGTTCTGGATATTGTTTTGAGTTATGATGTATTTATATATGCTGTGTTTATTCATTGTTTTAACAGATTCTATATTCTTTTATTTGTGTGTTACAATTGATTTTTATTATTATTATGGTATAATTTTTTGTTTGAGTTGAATTTCAGATATCATAACGGTTCAGTAGTATTTTATTGATTTTATATTATGTGTGTAACTATTGTTGTGTTCTTTTACAATGCGTGATGAGTATTTTGCTGATAATTATCGTGTTATATTTATGTTCTAATTCAAAACAGTTTTATCAATTTTATATATGATTTGATAGTCATCAAAGTTAAGGGGGAGGAAATGTAGTGTATTTCATATAGTACACCTTTCTGTATATAACTATTGTCAATGTATGTATCATGATGGCAGTGTTTGAGTGAATAAACCGTTGCCGTGGTCCGATCATCACGCCACCCTCAACCGACCAATCACAACACAGCCTGACCACGCTCCTATTTTCCCGGCTTTTCCTCACGGTCCTCCAGCAGCTCCCGATATGTAACCATCTCCGTGTTAGTCCCGCCCGTATCGGCCGCGGCAATTTATTACTGTAAAATGTGTATTTATTGACTCCATCTACATTCTTAAACTACGGACATTCCAGTCAAGACAAATGTTAAGAGAGTCGGACCGTTGTCTGTTTAGGTGTTTGCACGTAACGAGAATCTGCAGAACCATCGACGGAGCTGCTCCATTGCGAAAGACACACAAGACTCTATCAGGCAGATGCGGATAGTCTGCAAGTATTGTAGACTCCAGTTCTACTCTCTCTCCTCTTTACATCAACACATGGAGGAACATTACTGCAGTGGTAATTATTTACTTTTTACTTTAGCTGTCCGTCGCCATTGGCTACAAGTCTGTGCACCAATCTAAAGACAATAAAGAACTTGTAAATTAGTCAACGTTTAAGTCACATTCATAGGCAAGCCAGTGATAACATAGTGCATGCGATTGGTCTCGAACCAGCATGTCTTAGACATTACAACCATAGATTAAGTATATGCTCTCTCTCATTCATCGTTCTTATTTATCAAGTACAGGTCTATCTTGATGTTAGTTCTATGCAGTTAATGTATGGTGTGATTTGGTTTACTATTTCTTCTTGTTATTTCACTTTTTTAAAACTAGATTAACCAAATAAAATTGTGTAATTATTTACATTAGCTTGTCCTCTGGTTCTAGAACTAAACAGTAAAGCACAACATTATAAAATTGACCCTAAAACAAGAGAGAGAAACATATTATCCACACTAGTGCTCAATGTCCCCAACAATAAAAAATTAACAGTAGCAGCAAACTCACACGTTAATTTTTACTTCCTTGAGGATCGTAACTTATTGTTGCAGTTAAAATGATTATATTCATAGAATAATAAGTTGTAAAAAATTATGTTTTCTATTATTTCTAGGTTTTATGCAAAAATAACCATTAAAAAATCAAAATAAAAACAATAAAAACCTCCAAGAGATATCATGTCTTTGCGATTTAGCACTTTTTGAGAAGATTTTTGTGATAAAATATCCCGTCATTTTTCTGCTGCCCATTACTCTGAGTTGGTAGGACTGACTGCACTGGATATGCAAAATATATAGAAATATGAAATGTTCCAGGTGACACGTGGAGTTGTAGGTGCCATCTGATCTCAAATAGTGCAGAACTTTTTTTGACCCACAACTGCCCTTTCAGCAATGGGAAGACGTGCACATTATGCGGCAAAAAGTTTAACTCCCAAAAAGAGTTTATTGAACACAAAAACTATCCGACTTTAAGTGAGTTTGCATTGATATCCTTTCAATTTAGTTTTTATCATTCCCCCTGCAGGATTTGATAAAAGATTTTATTTCCAGTTTGATCCTTTTTATTTATATAACTATCCGATAGGGATGGTCAAGTCTCGAAATTTCGGGAAATTTTTGGGAAATTTTACATCTCGTTACACGAGACGAGATTTCTTTTTGGCCGAGATTTTTATCGAGACGAGAATTAAAAAAAAAAAAAAAAAAAAAAAAATTTAAAAACGCCTGCAGAAAGTAAATGCAATACCCGCAATACAGGAGCGTGTTGTAGTTGCGTTTCCTTTGCGAAGGCGTTCTTATTTAATTAATTCTTTTAATGTAAATATTACTTTAATTATTTTAATAATATTACTTTAATAACATTTGAGAAGTTTTGTTAAGTGTAAGCAGTGTGAGGAATGTTTTATTACTATAAAAAGTCAAAACAAGTAACTATTTTATAAAAATGAATATTGCTTTTATTTTATGATTTATTTTATTTTAGGATAAGTTGAACTCTATCCTAACTGATATCACTATGTTTCCTAATTGTAGGCATTTTTAATAAGTTAGACGTGATTAATAAAAAAATGTTATGCTGATGTTTTTTAATAAAAGATTGTAAATATTCTTGCCTATTATCATTATTTTTGTATTTAAACAGTCATCTAACAATGTTACAAAATCAGGTAAAAATTTTGAACGTGCATTTCCCGTTGTGTATGAGAAGGGAAATCCCGTCTCGATCTCGTCTTGAAATTTTATGAGAAATAAAAAATCTCGTCTCGTCTCGTCTCGAACTAAAAATCTAATCTCGTCCATCCCTACTATCCGATATAGCTATCACTGATATTTATTTCTATATTCATTCATTTTTTATACGTAAGTGTAATATCTTCTTGACCAATGAATTATTATGCTATCTAGATATAAAACATTTGAAATTTTTCTGCCGATGTTTAATCTCTTTAAATGTCAAGAAAAAGTTATTTGTTATTCATGATGAACCTAAAAATATTTTACGTAAGAACAATGAGTACATAAATAATGTATGTTAGGTTCTTCCAACCAACATGTAAAGTATTCACTCAAATTTGCAAATTTTCTTTAAAAATATGCTATTTATGAATAATTTTAATGTCACAGTAGACCGTCTATAATCCGGCACTGCAGTGATCTGGCGTTTTTTGACGAGTGTGGTGGGGTATTCAAGTTGAGACACGTTATTGTGTAAACAGTTAAATTCACAGTGTCTAGTGTGACTGTATTTAGGAGCTTTGCGGTAATATATACATCATCATAGCCTTCCTTGATCGCTCGTTTTGTGCTTTTTAATTGATTGCGTTTTTATTGATGACATTCCAGTAATCCGGCATTTTCACTTATCTGGTTGTATCACGGTCCTATATCTGCCGGATTACTGAGAGTCTAATGTACATCTATTTATAAAAATAAAAATAAAAGCTGCAAATATTTAATTTATATGCTATCATTAGTAACTACCCCTCTCTCTTCTCTAATTCAATATTTGTTATTCTTTAGTAAATGTAAATTCATAATTTAGGCCTAATTTTTTCATCTCCAAACAATATCTGACTACCCCTACTTTACTTACACTAGCAAAAATAATCTTACCTTTCTAGTTTCTATCAATTGGTTTTGCCTTGATTTATCTTATTGAAACTTAGAACCTTAAACTTTAGAAAGATCAATACAATCCACTTTGTCTTTACTGTACAGAAAATAAACAACTGATTTTTTATGAATTGTTTTAGGAACTCACGTTAAACCAGATCGTTCCCTACTTTGTGAGTTTTGTGGGATTATGCACACAAGCATTACAGGGGCTCGTCTCCATAGACACAGACATCGTAAGTTTCCAAAAGTTCAGCGTTTTAACTTGCGAATGTTGGTAAAAAGGGTTCTGATTGACAGGGATGCTAATAGTTTCCACCCGTAAAATTTCCCTGGAAAACACAGAGAATATCATCATAATAATATTTTGTTGGGCTTAATAAAGCAACTTGTCCATGTTGAAAAACCACAAACATTGGACGGTTTGGAAGCAAACATCCGTTGTGAGATTGCTGGTATATGACCCCAGCTGCAGGATAAAGTGATCTTAAACTGGAGTTTCTAAATTGTACTTCATTCAAGCCAGCCGTGGGTCCATATGCCCAATGTTTTTAATCCTTGCTCCCCCAAACAAACCTTAAACCTCTTGCACCCCTGAGTTCAAGCCCACATGGCCCATTTATAAAAGCGGTCAGGGTTGTCACGTGTCTCGATTCTGTCGGGAGAGTCCCGATTTCGGTCCCTTGGGCCTGTGTTTATGCCCATGTTAATCCGGGGGAGTAGGGTCTGTCCCAATTTTTTCCCCAACCAAAGGTGGTGGCCCTGGCTGTATGGGGAATTATGTGTCATGGCCAAATGGATGCAGATTCAAGACTTGTACCTTTTATCGTTTCAATGTTCGTGTTTGTGTGTCTATGTACGATATGTGAATCGACGACCTTCTGGTGAGGTGAAGATGACTTCTTGAAAGCCAAAACTAGCTGCGGCATTAGCAACATTTCCGATTACAACGAAGCAGATATTTCCACCAATTCATATATATTCAATGTAATCCTTAAGCTAACATAAAAAATGAGAGTTATTTGTTTATATGGAGGAAGTATTGTTTTTGTCAAAAATTTTCGAGTTTGAGTTTTGAGTGGATATATCCATTTTGGGCCCCCCTGAACCCAAAAAGTGGTTTTCGAAGTGATGTCTGTGTGTGTCTGTATGAGTGGATGTGTACAGAGCTACAGACCACACCTGTAGTCCGATTTAGATTAAATTTGGTATGTAGGTACTAATCCATGGTATCTCCAGGCGTTTTTTTTCCATTTTTCAAAATTTGGATTTTTAATGGGGATTTTCTCATAAATAACCCATTAAATAACGGAAAAATCTGATTTCTTCGAAAATAGCCCAAACGATTTTGCTAAAGATTTATTATGTTAAAGACCTTCAGATTTTGAACAAAATTGTACAAATCCTATTTACGTAAAAATTACGGTTCAAAAGTTATTGTAAATTTTGTGTTTTTTTTTTCTACAAAATTATCATAGTTACTCCCACCGCTTACCCATTATAAAGGTTGTTGACAAGCTTATGGGAGAAAGTATGTGTCAGATTGCTGATACCGTTTATTTTATAAAGTAATTAGTAAACCTTCGATAGTTCGACACGGGCTGAGCTATTTTATCAAGTGATATTTAATGGTTACTAATGTGATTTAAGCTGACTTGAACATTAATTTTCATTTATAGTTGACTTGAGACTTAACTACTGAACAGTGAAATTAATTGTTAAGCTTTTTAGTATTTAATACATTTTTGGGTGCTTTCTATATAAGACTTGTGTTTTTACTTTCCTGTATATTAAACTCCATTTACTCGCTATAGTTCAACATTTCGATAGTTCGACATCCCTTAAGTCCATAAAGTGTCAAACTATCTAGGTACTACTGTAATTAGTTTAGTAATAATTAAAAACTTTTAAGTGTGAAATTGTTCGTCCCTTGTAATTGATCTAAATGTATTAAATGCATTTTTCAGATGAAAAAACCTACAGCTGTTCAACTTGTGGAGAAAGATTTTCCAGAATGGATGGACTAGTGATTCATTCACAAAAGCACGAAAATGTTTTATGGGTAATGAACACAAATAGCAAATAGACTGTATAGGCCTAGTTTAGAGATGAGAATCAAATAGAACAATAAATATGATCAGGATTAAAAGTACCGTAAATATGTTTTCATCATCATATGAGTTTAAGTAATTTTCAAATTATATTATGACAAAATACACGTAAATTAATTAGTAAACTTTATTCCAGAACTAATTAAACACAAAAGATAAAATGTAAACAATAACAATAATATCAACAATAATCATCTGATTATTTAAGCATATGACAATGACAAAAGCCATTGTTCAATAAATAGTAAATACCATACCTACAAAAATGCAAAGCTATAATTTACAATTGGAAAAAGTACATGCTCACACAAGAATCATTAAGCGCTTTAAACATAATAAATAAGAAGTAATAATAAATAGCACATGCATAGCAAATAACAAATAAATACAGAACCAGAACAACAATTGGCAATTACTGAGGAAAATGGTTCACCTCTTCTCTGAGACAAGAAGAGGTGAACTTTGCCGAATACAGCAGGAGAGACCATGGCAAAAATTCTCAAGTAGCTTTCAACATCCGGTAAGTCGGAATTGGAATTAGGGTAGTTAAGAGACTGGATCCACTGGTTGGAGTTTTGCAACTGACATTTCTTGAGGTCGTATACAGACACTGATTCATTCATTTATGATAAATGACCGAATTATAATTCAGTGTGTTAAGGTTCTTACGATTTTAAACAAAATGGTACTATTCCCATTGCCCTAAAAATTACGGTCCCCATAAAATATCATTTAGTTACTCCTTCCGCTTATTCGTGAAATGTTGTTGACAGGCTAATGGGAGAAAGTATGTGTAATAACCTTTTTTATAAAACTGGCTACACATTATGCATGGGAATGTAATGTATAGTTCCATAAAATCTCTAAGGTTTTGTGTTTGTTTTCTTACCCCTATTGATCTGATTGTATCAGGAGTGTCCAATCTGTTTGAAGAAGCTCAAAAGTGAAAAAGGCCTCTCCCACCACCAGAAAAGCATGCACACTGAACCTTCGCACACTTGCAGATTTTGTGATAAGGTAAAGCCACTTCTATTTCAACCAATGTATACAACTAAGTCTTATTTTTTTCTTTAAATTCTACCTGCTTCCGTTTTGCCTTGTGGTACTGTACTTAGAGAACAAGATTAAATTATTCCGATTGAAACCAAATATTTCTTTATCTGGGCTTAATATTAGAAATGTATTATTGGTATCGAAGATATAATTACAGTACCTATTCAATCTAGTCTATGCTGGAATAGTATATTTCATTACTAGGACCGAAAGTGGCATTTTCCGTCGCGCGCCCAAGTTTTTGTGTAAGGCGAAGCCGAACACAGGGAACCCCAATTTCTCGTGCAAGGCGAAACCGAGTATGTGAGAGCTATTTTCACGTACGAGGCGAAGCCGAGGACGGGAATAATGGAGCAAGTGCCGGATAATAACTTTCGGTACGAGTTATGAACGATACTTTTCATCACGACCCAAAAATACACTAACACAGAATAGCAGACCTCAGTATATTAAAAAAATTTGATTTCTCAATTGATTTGATTGAACATCAAAATAAAATAAAATCTTCTAAAAAGAAACCTACGTATATTTCTCAATAAATTTTGTTTAAACATCAAAATAAAAGAATAACACAACTTTTAAAAATACATACAGCTGATTAAAATCATTAAATTAAACCGTAACAAAACACTGGCGCGCGTAGTGAATAAATGGAGAACTAATTGAGAGCGAGGGAAAGTAAATTTAGAGCGAGGGAAAATCAGCTGATCGATTTTCCCTCGCCCTAAATTAGAGCTTGGGAAACGACTACTTTCATTGATATCAGCTGTTATCGAAAATAGTTACTTTCGTTAAGGAGTGATGAAAATATAATTTTTCCAATAGACCAAAATATTAAGAACTTGATGACGAAATTGATTTCTACTTCAGTCAATATTTTCAAGTTAGCAAGTCAATGGCATGTTGCCTGACTCTGTATAAGTTAATCATTAATCAGCAATGACCTACACAATACCAGAATCAACATGATTATTTCCAGTTAGCAAGACGCTTGCCGGTCCCCTGTCATTGAATTGTATACTGTGCAATATCTCTGCATTTTGTAACGCTGGAAATAATGTTATACCAAAACACAGATTTTTCATGGTCTGTAGGTGTTTTGTGTGTGTTAAGTTGTTAATACATCGCTGACCTTGTTTTAATTATTTTTAGATGCTGCAACTTATTGCTGAAAATTTGAAATTCCATTGTCAAATTTTGTTTATAGAATCTTGAATTTATATTCAAATTTTTCTCATCCACTGTCGGGTATCACTACTCTTGACAATCGATTCTCAATACTGATACTAATGTCCAAGAATCGGTGTTCGAGAATCAACACATCCCTAGTCCTGACAACAAAAAAACAGCTGACCTTAGTCAGTAACAAAACTACACAAGGCATCACGGTTTCTTTCACTCATTTTTGTGGTTGTAGCAAAAGTAGATCTATAGCTAACATGGTATATTTGTTCCAGAAATTCCGCCAGAGATCCAATTTTACAAAACATTTAAAACTTCACATGGGTAATTTTAGCTGTGATCTCTGCTCGGTCAACTTATTGTCAAAAAAAACACTTAATTCACATTATCTACAGATCCATGGAAAGTCAGTGTTCCAGTGTGAAGATTGCCAAGAAGTTTTTACACAGGTAAGTTGATTTAGCTTGCTTTATAAAGATATATAAATAAACATCAGTCCACTTGTAGTTCGGTTAGCTCAAACATCTCTTGCTGTCACAATGAAATTATAGGTATAGTGCAATCTTTGCAACGGCTTTCTGAAACCACGAGAATAAAAACTCAGCTCAATTTTGTGACTTTGTCTACGATTACTCTTAGTTGGTTGGTTATGCTTGGCTCAAAAATTGGGTCCCTTGCACACATCTACTTAGAAGTTATGTTTATTTAGAATGTATGAAAAAGTACAATAAATGGCTATGAACACTGTTTTCCTTGTGTTTTTTGTTTGTTTTAGAAATTGCAACTTTGCAAACATAGAAGCAGGCATTTGAGATACCAGTGTGCTTATTGCAAAGTACAATGCCGTTACAGGAGCTCTCTGAAGAGACATCTCGCTGCTTTTCACAAGGACAAGTCTAAGGAATGGGACAATACTCAATTCCTAACTAATGTGCAACAGGTAAAAGTTTCAAGTAAGTGTTAAAAACAGATCTCTATTTAATCATTTCATTTAGACATAAATGCCCTTAGTCTGTATTTTAGACTTTTGGAAGGGACAGTGTAGAATATGGTAAGATGACCTAAGTTGTTCAATTCATTATATGGTAGGCCTAATCATTACAATAAGATCAGATGTTTTTATATTTTACTAGTAAGATATTTATCTTAAGTTAGTCAAGAGAAATTTCAAGCCAAGGTTAAACAAATTGTGGATTCAACTTCATTGTTACATGGTTATCAAACCTGCATCTTTCAAGGTAGCTATGGGCTTAAGTTGAATTGACTACTTATTTTAATAGTACTCGTTTCTAAGTAGGGCAAGTTTGACTATTAATTAAACAAATAACCGATTGAAGATAAATTAATCAATTTAACCCTTAACCGCGCACGTGGGTATGACATACCCCCACGCATAACACTAGCTTCCTAAAATAGCATATGCTATCTTCTGGCCGCAGGGTTGTAAGTCTTGACCAAGTCATTGACCTGTTATCACCCCCCTGGGTCTGGCATACCCCCTCTCGCGTGCTTGTGTTACCAGTACAGTGTTCATTGGGGGGTCTAATGTACCCCCGCGTGCGTAGTAGTGTCTCAGATCTATTATCATAATTAGTATTAATAACTTAATAACTTTATCATTATAATTTTGATAGTATTGAAAGTTTGCCAAAAAACATCCATTTCATACCTTAATTTGTGTTTGTTTATGAGCTCCATTAGCTGCTCTGCAGATATCAAAGCGGTTCTCAATTTCTTTCCAAGTGTTGAGTAGCATCTCTGGAGTCACATATGGCAATCACTTCTAAAGTTGTACACGTAGGTGTGACAAATCACAAATTTTCTCAGCGTAAAAAATGTTCTTTACACAACCCTACAAAAAAGTACAAAGAGATCAAATCAATACTCCTGGGAGAACATGCAATAGGCGCTACTCTTCAACATCCTCATTTGAGGAAACAAAAATTGTTCTAGCATATCTAGATAAATTATGTCACTGAATGTTTTGTTTATTTTTTTAGTGAAAAAGAAATGCCCATCACTTGGTAATACATTAACCCTCACCATACGTTCACTTTTGGCGAATTGGGCACATGTTCCTGTACAATGTTAGTTTTTGCTGAACTCCATATTCGACAATTGTGAAGATTAACAAAACCACCTGCGTGGAATATGGCTTTGTCTGAGAACAGCACTCTTTTAATAAAATTCCAATTGTTACGAATCTCATAACTGGCAAAGTCTGTACGCTTAGGACAATCGGCGGATTTAATGTGATGTCTTAACTGAATTTTGTTTGGCACGAAGTAATCTTTTACAAATAACATGAAGGAGTGTTGATTTAGGTAAGACTTTGTCAGAACTCGGGATATAAATTTTTTCAGGCCTCTGATGCAGAATTATTGGATTTCTTCGACTTTGCCATCACTTGTTTTTGGCCGGCCAGGTGAATGTCCTTTCAAAAAATTTCCTGTGTCATAAAACTGTTAAAACCAGCGACAAATCACAATTTTATTTAAAGATAAATCAATGCAAGTTCTTTAATTTTACTACTTTATTTTTTTGTGGCATTGGAGAAGCCAAATATGTATACATAGCTCTCCACTTTCATCCTTAATTTGTTAATAAATTTGCAACAATATTTCTCATTTTTTTAGTAAACAAACACGCTGAGGGAAGGGAAGAAGGTGGTTCTGTGCCTACAGTTCACAATGCTTCCGCCAGTAACATACTGCAAACTGCTGCAGACGATTTGATGGAGGAAGACAACGTCGATGGTCAGTAGCTGTGGTTTACTTAGTATCGGAGAAAACTGAACAGGTTTTTGTACTTTTGTCAATATAGAAATCACTTAGGAACTTTCATCGTTTTAAACTAACAATACTTGTGTGTTACTGTTATTCATTTATAACGAGTTCTTGTTTAATATTTAGGTTATCATTTTAAATACTTTTTGTGGTATTCTGGTCAGTGGTGATTCACAATGTTAAATATTGTTGTAAGTTTTAAGACAAGCAACAAGAAGTAACACTTATCTCAAGTCCAGTAATTATTTTTTTAAGCTGTAAAAATCACTAAATAGTCTGGATAACGAGTTTTCCGGTTAAACCGACGTCCCCGAAAACTTGTTATGTAACGCAAATATTTGACCTAAATTAAGGAGAGCATTGTGTTGTACTCGTAAGGTCCAATAAACAAGTATAAATGTAATAATTTATAATACAGAACTATATAACTTCAATAGGATTTAGCCTAAGTTAAAAGGAAGCCATTTCATTTCCGTGTACACCACTGACATTTTATTAATAAAATAAATGAAATTATAACAAATATATACTTTTCATTTAGTTAAATTATACCTCTGTATCTCAGTCCTAAATAATTATTTAATTGAAACAGTCTTACTTTATGATGACCTTCCGTAGAGCTCTATTTTAATACAGGAACTCGTCTGTAAAAAAAATATACAAATGCATAAATATTACTAATATAACTATTCTAAATATAAATTTAAATTACCATTTTCTTTCGTACAATGTGCTTTTTGCAAGTTAACATACTTATAACCTAATTTAACATATTTTAGAATTTGAGGTTAACCAACAGTGAATATTATTTTCCCATATCCATGTTCAATAGTATTTTTAATACTAATTTTAATTTCAGATTTAACTTTCCTAGATTATAATGGATAATAATATTTTGTACTTACAATGTCTACGAGATTTGCCTGCCATGAGATACAGAATTATGAATGAAATCAAACTTTGTGAGGGAAATGAAAAAAGAAACAATGTTACCACTACAAACAATTAAAATAAATCAATTATGCTTCTTACATACTATAACTAAATTTGCTGGATTTTTTTTTATAAACTAACAATACAAGAATCAGTATAGTGTTTAGACACGTAATCACTGGTCTCAAATATTGCCTACGAGAACAGTCGTTTCAGTACAGCCCACTTCCTACCGATCTAGTCCGGTTAAACCGATGTGCTGATAAAAATTTTCCGGTTAAAGAGATGTAATTTCCGCCGAGTGTAGTCCGGTTAAACCGTTCCGGTTAAGAGGGAGTCTACTGTATGTTTATTTTTCTTTGTACTTTAGATCCCGATGAAGCCATGGAGGATGTGCAAATGCCAGATATTTCTCAGCTGACTACTACAAACCTGGTCACAACCATGGCAGATGGTAACACTCAGAATGTCTCGTTCGACATAAATGTTCTACAAGGAACTGACGGTGAGTGAGAGATAGTGGTGTAATTTTGTGTTCTCGAGTGTAAAATACGGGAACATGCACCTGTTCAATAAAATCTGTGTAAAATATGTTTTATAAGTTCAGTGAACACCTTTTTCTCTACCAATACAATTTTTTTGTAGCGATAAAATGAAATAAAAAAGCTGCTGATGATTAGACAATAGACAATAGACAAATAATCTTTATTTACACATTCATTAAGAATAGTAGTAGCGTCAATTTACAATTTTTTCTAAATGTTTGGTTGAGGTGTTGTTTAGTCAAAGACCTGTTGACGGTATTCTTCTAAGGAATAGAAAGGTCGATTAATGAGCCATTGATGCAAAGCTGGTTTGAGGTCATCTTCTGACTTGCTTCTTAGATCTGGAGGTAGCCTGTTGTAGATTTTCATTCCTGCGTATGAAGGTTTCTTTTCAAACTGTGTCGTGCGATGTTGTGGAAGGTTGTACTGCATGGTGTTTCTCAGGTTGTGTTGGTGCATTTCGCCACGCCTTGTAGGGTTATTTCTTACTGCAAATAACACAACTTCCTGGATGTAGAGTGCTACAAGGGTAAGTACTTTGAGTGACCTGAATGCTTCCCTGCAGCTGTCGAGTCTGTGGAGTCCTGCAGTTATTCTGACTGCCTTTTTTTGTTTTCTGAGAACTCTTTGCATGTTAGTGGCAGAGGTTCCACCCCATGCTACAAGTCCATATCTCATATGCGACTCGAAAAGTGCAAAGTATGCTACTTTTGTTGTCATGTCATCTGTTGCATTTTTTATATGTTTAAGAGCATAGATGGTTGAACTTAATTTTTTACATATATTGTCCACATGAGGGGTCCAGGTTAAATTCTTGTCGAGTGTGATGCCCAAAAACTTAGCTTCATCTTCCACTTCTACATCTGGGAGTCGTGGCACTTCTTGAGATTTACGGCCAAAAGCTATTTGAGTTGTTTTAGACGTGTTTACTGCGAGATCATTGTTATAGCAGTATTGGTAGGCCATACTGAGTGACACATAGGATTTTACTTCTAGATTTTCAGCTAGTGGTTCATTAAACACTAAGGTTGTGTCATCAGCATACATGAGAGTAAGGCAGGCGTCTCCTATTTGTTGCGGCAAATCGTTGGTAAAAAGAATAAACAGTACCGGACCCATAACTGAACCTTGGGGAACTCCTCGATTTATTGGTTGAAAATTTGATCTTGTTTTTCTTATTAGGCTGTTATCTCTGTGCCTTAGTTCTACAAACTGACTCCTGTCTGTAAGGTAGCTTTGAAACCATTCTCTTACTATCCCTGATACCCCCAGGGAATCCAGCTTTTTAATGATTAGCTGGTGGTCAAGGCATGTCAAATGCCTTACTGAAATCAAGAAAGATTCCTGTTGTTAGATTTCCTTCATCTAGGCTGTCAATCAGGGACTCAACCATCTGAATTATTGCTGTTGTTGTGGATTTCCCTTTTGTAAATCCATGTTGAAGGTTGTTTAGTAGGTTGTGACTTGTGCAGTGGTCTAAAAGTCTTTTTAAAACAACTTTTTCGTATATTTTGGAGAAGGTGGAAACGAGGGAAATTGGTCTGTAGTTGCTTGCTTCTAATGTGCTACCTTTTTTAAATTTCGGGTATACTTTAGTTATTTTAAGTAGTGAAGGAAAGATGCCTTGTTTTAGGGACTTATTTATCAAATCAGCCAATGGTAGTGCTAGTTCATTGCAGCAATGCTTAAGTATTTTTGACGAGATTTTATCAATTCCAGACGAGTTTTTTGCTTTAAGTTTGTTTATAATCATTTTAACTTCCTTCTCGTCTGTGCTTTGAAAGGAGGAAAACAGTGGACCTGTTTGAGTTACGTCAGGAGTTTGAGCTGTGGTCTTTAGGTGTTTTTGTTTCTCTACTGTTTTTTCTCCTACTTGTGTAAAAAATGTATTCAAATGCTCTGCAACATGGGTCACATTACTTATGAGTTGGCCATCTACTTGAAGGGTTATTTCATTTAGGGATGTTTCCTTTTTGGACCACACTGTGTTTATTGTTTCCCAGATAGCTTTAGATTTATTTTCAGCTTTCATCAACTGGTCAGAGTTAACCTTTTTCCGCATCGTTTTCAAGTACAGGTCATAGTTCTTTTTATTTTCAATAGAAACCCTTCTGTCATCTGGATTTCCCGTCACCTCAAACTTTCTTAGAGCTTTAAGAAATTCGGCTTTAAGTCTCACTGCTTCTGGGTCCATGGAGAATTTTAGTTTATGTTTTCTTTGTATTTTTATCTTCTTTTGGGGGCAGGCTGCATCCATAGCTACTCTCACTATGTTACTAAAAGTTTTAAAAGCCTCTTCGGCATTGTTTATTGAGGTAACACTAAGCCAGTTTTCTTGACTGAGAAGATACTTGAGGTCTTGCAGGTTTTTATTTTTTAGGCAGCGTCCAATTTGGGCAGGATAACTTGAGTTGATGTGTGATTTGAAGTTTACAGTACAGAGTTGAGCAGTATGATCAGAAAGTCCTGCATTGATGATTTCTGGAGTGAGTTGGTTTGTGTCCATATTTGTACATATCCAGTCAATGGAGGTTTGTGTTAGATTTGTTATTCTCGTAGGTGGAAGCTGTAGTCTCTGGATGTTGTGCATAGCAAGAGTTTCATTTAAGATAATGTGTTTCCTGTTTGGGTTACACAATTCAACGTTAATATCTCCCATGATGATAAGAGGGGAATTTTCAATTTTTGTTTCCTCAATTAGTTCTGTAAAGGTGTTTAATGATTCCTCAAGGTCTCCGTTTGGGGGTCTGTAGGTTCCCAGTACAAACAGATTTGAGTTCTTGAATTTTATTTTTATAAGAGCTGCTTCAAATAACAGTTCTTTACAGTACTTGGAAACATCTATGGCTACTGTGCTGCTCTCAAGGCTTTCTTTTACAAGAATGCAAACACCTCCTTTTCTGTGTTCTATTCTACTATAGTGAGCCTTGAGGCAGAATCCAGTAGCTATGACGGTGCTACTTATTGTCTCAGGTTTCAGTCCATGTTCTGTCAGAATTACTATGTCAGGTTTGGTTTCTTCTAAAAGGTGCTGTAGTCTATTTATTTTATTTGAGACTTCCTGTGTATTTTGGTGCAGCAGGATGAGTTTGGAGTTTACATCCTGACTCGATTGTCTAAAAAACAGTCAGGTTGCGTTTCTCTTGTCTCTGCTGATTTTTGCAGTTTTCTTCAAGTAAAATCAGGCTGCGTTGGAATAATCTGAGAAGGTGAGGAAAAAACAAAGTTATTATCCTGTAGCGATGCAGCCTCCCTTTTTACTAAATATCCATAATGCTTCTTCATATGTTCTGAATAAAATCCTATATTTTTTACAAAGAAATCATTGTAATCCTCGTCTTTGCTCTTTGGCTTAGCATTTAGGGGTGGAAGTTTATTTTTATTTTTAGTCTCTTTCAGGCTTTTTTGAGCTTTTACTGTTTGTGACACTTGTGACAGTTTTTGTGGCGGGGTTTGGCTGGTTTCCCCTGTTGATACTTGTTCCGTTGAGGTCTCAGATGACAGTTTTTTCGTAGGAGTTTGTCTGACTCTCCCTGTTGCAGTTTCTGTTGGCAGTTTTTTAGTAGGAGTTTGTCTGACTCTCCCTGTTGTAGTCTCGGTTGGCAGTTTTTTAGTAGGAGTTTGTCTGACTCCCTGTTGTAGTCTCGGTTGGCAGTTTTTTAGTAGGAGTTTGTCTGACTCTCCCGGTTGTTGTTTCAGTTTGCAGTTTTTTCGTTGGAGTTTGTCTGGCTCTCCACGTTGTGTTTTTGAAGGTTTTGCTGGTTATTTCTCGGCAGTCAGTAGCAAGTTTGTGATTTGTTTGTTCTAGGTATTTAGCATTTTGCAGGGATACGCTGAATATGTTAGTTCTGTTATGATTTCTTTGAGCCCTTTTATTTTTTAATGAACTTGGTGTTGGAATGGAAGGATTTGTATGAGTTGTCGGAGAAATGGTATTAGAAATCTCTTTGTTCATCTGCATTTTCAGGGTGTTAATGACGTGTTCAATTTGATTTTGTTTCATTTTAATTTGAGCAAGTTCAGCTAAGAGTAAAGGACTGTGACCAGCTATACATTGATGGGTCTGGGCTACAGCAGGCTTTGTACTAACCAGATTTTCCTCTTTTTCATCCAGCTTAACTTCATTGTGTTTTTGTGTCAGATCTTTTATGTTCTGTTTAAGTTGTTGAGTTTCTTGTTCATATTTTTTTAATGTGTCTTCTTTTTCCTTGTCCAATTCTTCAAAGGTGTGTTCTAAGTCTCTGCGAAGCATCTTCTCATTGTCGAGCTGTTTTTCAAGATTATTGATGGTTTCCACTAACGAGTTGTTTTTCATTAACAATCTTTCATTTTGGTCTAATAGTGTGTCTATTTTTTCTTCCCAAGCTGCTGCTTCATTTCCATTTTTTATTTTTGTTACTTGAAAAGACAGTTTGGCATTTTCGAGACTCAGCTTGTGTACATCCTCTCTAAGTTTATTGTTCAACTTCAAGGAGAGCATTTCCAACCTCCGCTGCTAGGTTAAGAGAACTTTCCAAATCATTCTCTTCTGTATCAAAATTTTGTACAATGTTTTGAAAATCGTCCATGGTAAGATTTAAATTGTTTAACATAGGTTCGGGCTTGTTAATTGAGGTATGACTTTGAGTGATGCAGCTAAGCAAGGTGTCGTCTGAGGTTTGACTTTCAGAGCAATGCTTATCATCAGTTTTGCTTGATTTCCTTGCAAAAGCGATTTCTGCTTCTTTTAAAGCTGCATTAAAATATTTATTTTTGAAATTGTCTTGTTTAGGTTTACCATATATTGCTTTGTTTTCTGAGTAAAGACATACATCATTTTCCTTTATTTTAGCTGTTTTATTATCTCCAAAAAAAGAAACAGTATACTGTGGTTGTCTATCATTTTTCTTTGGAACAGTCTCCTTTATTTCTGCAGGCCAGAAACAGTAGCCTTTTATCTTTGCAAAAACTAAATCACCTGCTTTATACATAATTCTACCTCAGTTGGAGAGGCTAGTTGTCTGAACACACAACTGTTGTTGATCAGCAGTGTGCTATGTCTGTTTGTCTGCTAGCTATGACGTTAGTTACAGAGTCAGCAGTGTTGACGTCTACCAGCTGTGTCGTCAGATTGTGTCGTCAGCAGTGTTATTGCCTCAGTCTGTGTCACCTAGTTTGGCTGTGACGTATAGTGATGAGTTGGAATTATGTTGAAGCCTAGTATTCCCTGACTGGCAGTTTATTGAATTTACAAATGAGATGGTTTATCTTGAATTTTAGTGCTAAAAATTAAATGTGTAATATTTCTTTTCCTTTAAAAGAGTGATTTGAAAATGCTTGGTATTCTTATAAATGATTCCTTTATAATTCCATTAGAAATTGGTAGGTCATCACAAGGTGAGTTGCTTTAGTATTGATTTTTCTTAGTTTCATTGAGTTACATATGTGTGAGTTTAACTTACATAAGTTTTAGAGGTTTTGTAGCACATTTAATGGATCTTTTGTTGGTTTAACCCACTTAAACTGCACTAAACTGGTGGAACACTTTCACAGAATGTGTTGGTTGTCCGCCATCTTGGTTTTTTTTTTTTTAGTTTGATTAGTTGAGTATGACGGCTAAACAGTGGCTTGGTTATCAAGAAAATTCTTCTAATCCGTCATGTTTGGGACCTTTGGCTTCTGTGTAATATAGCTTTATAAAGGCATCTTCTACAATCCATACCTTATTGTCGTAATCGTAGCTGTGAATGTATTCCTGTACAGTTTTCCTCACTTGTTACATTTCTGTTACAGACATACAACAGTTAGTCAGCTTGGATGGAGAAGTTCTCTCGATGCCTGTTGCTTTTGTTCAAGATATTCCCTCTCCCTCTGGCCTCACAACGCTAGGTCTGTATTTACCATTAATGATGGTAACAGTTATGATAATCTATACCATAGTCAAAAGGAATCACCTGGTTGTCAGAAACAATTTTAAATTTAATTAGTTTTTATCAAAATATGTATTTTATGAAAATGAGATTTTATTTAATAGTGAAGGTCTCATACAAATATAGTGGCACGTGAAATTAGTTTATAACATTAAATAAAGTATCGTGTAGTCAACGTTCTTGACAGATAATCTTATATTGAGTAAAATGGCTGATTACAAAGAAAGTGGTTTATTTTAATATTAAAATCCCTATCAGGTAGTGATGTGGGCCGGGTAAATACCCAGTGGGTAGGTAAATATAAATTGGGTATTTACCCCAGGCCCGGGTAAATACCCAAAAACTGGGTATTTATAATTTTTATTAAAGTTAGAGAAGATTGAGATGTTTTTTTGAAATTATTACCCTGCAAGGATGGTAAAATGATGATAAAATGTGTTAAACAAAATTTCATACGGTCAATACTAGCATTTTACTTCTGGCTGTAATCGCCATAAATACCCAGGTCTGAGCATAAAGTATAATCGGCATAAATAATCGGTTGCACTGGTCCTGACTACTTATGATTTTTTAATTTCTATGATAGATAGATGAATTTATTTGATTGAAAGCGAAGAAAAATAATTTTCCTACAGTCCCCCAACAAAGTTGGCTTCCTTGTACTGTTTATAGTACAGAAAGCTGCTAATTGCTGCATATTTATACTTTGTCGTATGGTTTATACTTTGGCGCACATCAGGATTCCAACGAAACAACACAAAACAGCGTGGTTCTATTATGCACGTAATCCGTGTACGCTTGGAAATAGGTTGGCAACACTTATAGATAATAATACTATGAGCAGCTGATTGACTATGATTTAACCTGTCATTTCGTGTTTATAGTTTTGGTATTTCTGAACTTTCTGGACTTTTCTTTTAAACGTTTTTAAAACATTCCTACGATCTTAATAAACAAGAAAATACCTTTAAAGCAATTTTTTTTAGGCGCGGAAACCACTTCAAATTACAAAAACATACGGAACTATATTCTCAAGTCGCGGAGCACATTTCTTGCCGAGGAAAAATAGCGGAGTGATACGGACCGGGTACTACTTTCTCTAGGGCACCTTTTTGTGTTGCCAGCTGAACCTAAAAACGTGTTGTATAGTGTTTGAAAGACTAATTATTTATATGCTTTATAGTGACTGTAGGAAAAATATAATGTGTAAGTGTAACACGAGTGCAAAAGGCCTTTGCTGCACTAGAGATCATTCCTAACATTGCTAACATTGTAAACATTGCTCTCGTGTGCAGCAAAGTGCCACTTTGCCCACTAGTTACACAAATAACTATTGTAAAGTAAGTAATAATTATTATGTTATTTAGAAAGACAGTAAAATTTTACCTAGTAGATGGCCTATGTGTAAACAACTTAAGAAAATAATCTATATAAATAAAATTAGAGTTTTGTCTGTACATTGCTTAGAATAATGAACTTTTTGGTTATTTTTACATTTCATAGGTCAGAGAAACCGAATCAAACCTTATCTCAATTTCTGTCTGTCTGTCTGTCTGTCTGTCTGTCTGTCTATCTGTCATTCTCTTGGTAACGCTAAAATACGCACTTTATTACAACTACTCCTCAATAACTATAGCACTGTCCCGCCTGAAACTTATTTTCCAAATACTATACATATATGAGATGGTTTTAGACGTATTTCATCGAATATGAGACAGTTAGATATTTAACAGTAAACCCTTGAAAATCAAGTTTTTGTCGATTTTTGACGTGGAATTTCTGGAAGCCCATGTTAACCTTATGAGAAATGAAATTATTGAATCTTAACAGCTGTTTCAATTAAACAAGTTGGTTCTGTTCTGTGATGTTCAATAGCATTAAAGTTACAAGGATTACCAACAGGGTGCAGCACTAGCACTATTATTTCTTTTACATTTATGACAACAGCTAATTTGCAACCTGGAGGCGAGTGAGCGTAGCGAACGAGCTAACCTGAAGGCAAGTGAGCGTAGCGAACGAGCTAACCTGAAGGAAAGTGAGCGCAGCGAACGAGCTCCAACATACAGGTGAGTGAGCGTAGCGAACGAACTTCAACCAGGACGTGATTGAGCCATGCAAACGAGATCAGATAGTAAAAATAAAAGTAAGCCTACCGTTATAGGATCGACCGGCAGACACAGAGGTAATTTAACCTTTTATTGATTGTCATACCGATCCGGAACAACAAAAAACAACATAAAATGAAGCTATGTATAATAGTTTGGCCAGCATATCTTAAAATATGCAAACCAACTGCTGTTCGTTATATAAGAAGGTTTCAACTGAATATTATAAGATCCCCGTGCGTAGAACGGGTACACAGCTAGTTAAAATTAAATCTGTAGGATGGCAGGATTTAATAATTTTTTTGTTCTAGATCTTTTGTTGGTATCAATGGTACCTATCAAAAAAAAAAAAAAAACTAATTTCATTAACTTGTGATACAAAACATTTGAATTTATAGCACAATAAACCTTTCAACAATTCCTGGATATTTATAAATAAAAATGTTGTAAATTAAATTTTGATTATGTTATTTAATTGGTTATATACATTTTTAAAATTATAAAAATTGAAATAGCCAAAGCCTTTTTTAATATATTTTTTTAGTAAGTTAAATTTAACTGATGTTACTCGATTTAAGACACGAAACCCCATGCTTATTTAGAAACGTTATGTATTATTTAAAAAAAGTGCTTAAAAGGTACTAGCAAAGCTTCAAGTTACTGTAAAAGGTGTTTTAAACTATCCTAATTTATCATGTAATAATAACAATAACATATTTAGGGTTAGATATAAATTAATTTCAATCGATTTCATAAATACCCAAAATACCCGGGTATTTATAGATTTTGGGTATTTACCCGGGTAAATACCCAGGGTATTTACCCCGAGTTTTAAATACCCGGGTATTTTACATCACTTCTATCAGGTAATCTTTTGGGTATATCTTAATGCTGATGAGTGGTTAGCAAGACTTTGTATCCACCTCTTTTGTTTCAGGTCAGATTTTGTCTCACTTTAAATTAAGCTTCCTAATAGTCCAAGAATTTTAGGAATAATAGCCATTCGACCTAACAAATTCGGACTAAGTGGAAACTTTGCACAGTTGTTTAGTAAGCCCAAATAAATAAAATTTCAAAAGTCCCCATAAATCCCTGCTGTGCTTCAGCCGCCATCTTGGAAAATGGCGGCCAATTTTCACTTTTTTGACAATATTTCACAAACTATTGATATTAGACAATTTTTGTAAATACAAAAGTTAAAGAACATCTAAAAATACATCTTTTTTATATTACAATGTTTGCTCTATCTCTAATGGTTATTGAGATAAATAATAAAAGTTATTATTAAATAAAAAAATCCCATGTTATTCTTATGGAGGAAAATAAACTAAGTTTCCACTTAGTCCGAATTTGTTAGGTCGATTTTCCTAATATTCTTCCACTATAAGCTACTTCCAGCTTTTACTAATCTTATCTCTTTTTATATTTGTTAATAATATTTTCTTGTTAGGCGTGTTCATATTTGTCTTATTTTGTAACTATTCTCAGGACAGAGATTAGTAAGGTGTTAACTCAAAGCCTAAAAAAGAATTTGACTCAGTTCAAAATAATAATTTGAGATTATTATTTTCAAATTTGACTATTACAAGTCCCCTCTTTGTCTACACTTGACAAGTTCCCTCAGGGGAAAAAATGTTGTGCATTTTTGTGTCTTCTATATATTGTATGGCATACCAGAACTTTTTTGAGCTAAGCTAGCTTATACCCCTTTACTGTGCAAATTGCCATCTTGGCCTAGAGAAATTCTATTTCTAGTTATTCTAGTAACAAAATCATTCTAGTTACAGTTGTGTTGGAGTTACAGTTGTGTTATAGCTAGGCTCTCAAGCTATAATTGACTTGCTAGTTGTAATTTAAATTGGCATCATTTTAGCATTGTATGAATGTTTTCAGATGATCAGTGCCCAGTTGTGATGAACTTCCCGGTTGTTTTGCCTGACGGATGTTTGCTGTTAAACAACGACTTGGTGACCAAACAGCCATCAGAAGATGACTCGACTTTGATTAACATCAGTGACATTCAAACGATAAGTGGTACGTGACCTGTGATACAAGTATTGTAAGTTACTGATGTCTTCTTGGCTGAGAGACGAGACTTCAGTTTGAAAGTTCAAATCTCGTCTTGTTGAGTTCAAGTATACGACTCCCAAAAAAATCACTGTCTTTGGTGGTAAATGCGTAATTTAACAATTGTGAATGGCTTGGATGAAAGTTGGTGGATAGGGTTATGTGTAATATTTCTGGGTTGGACCCAAAGCAGGAATTTTCCTTGATCATTGTACTTTTAGTAAATGCAAAAAAACAGCTGATCTGAGTCAGTAAGAAAGTTATCTAAGTCATTTTTCCTACGACCGTTTTTAGCGAATTTCCCTATAGGGAAGTAGCTATTACCGTAGGTCTCATGGTAAGACTTAGGCCCGGGACCGATTTACTTTTTCATTTTAATGTCCCCAGAGGCCAAAAACACCATTCGTTCAAATTTTTATATATGTATATATATATATATAGATTTATATATATATATATATATATGTGTCCGTGAACACGATAACTTGAGTAATTTTTATCCGATTTTGATGAAATTTGGTTTGAAGGTGTAAGGCGGGATAAACTTGAATGAGTTCGCGATCCAGCATGATCGGACTATGGGAACAGGGTTTTATGGGGGGGTTTTATGGGGTAAAAATTGGTTTTTCTCACTTCTTAACCTCAAAACACAAAATTTCCCAATTTTTCTCTAAACCTTCTTAAAGAGCTTAAAAAAACAAAAAATTCAGTATATCAAAGTGTTTTTGTACGGTTATTGGTTACGGAGAAAACTAAAAAAATGGTAAATTTTACATCCATACATCCATCCATCCAAACTTTCTCATTTATAATATTAGTAGGATTTTGATCAAACTTGGCAAATTTATTTATTTTATAGTAAGCTATCAATATTTTACTAAAAACACACTACTTTATTAGTTTCCTTGTAGCAGCAAACCTAGGTACTCGTTAAACCTAATGTTATTTAAATAGATCAATTGAAAATCAATTCGGCCAAATGGAAATTCGCTTAGACGGCAGGTTTGCTGCGGCGGGGGTATTTTAACTAGCCGTTTCAGTTCAGATCTTTGAATTAGAAAGATTCACTTAACAGCATTGTTTTACTTGACAACATGAATAACGGACCAATGTGGTTCAAGGATTGAGAGAAAAGAAGTAAAATTGTAATGCTTTGAACTGCAACTAATCACCTGTTAACACCAATTTAATTGTTAATGAGTGGTGCAATTAGTGGTCGGTACAATGAGTCGTTGCATCTCTGTCAGTGGCAATGAGAGGTTATAAACGGAAACATAACCTCTCTTAAAAGTTATGAGTAGTGATTGTTATTGATTAAAAACGGGTCATAGGTAAAGTAGTGTACGTAACTCGTGTAAATAGTCTAGGCTCGTGCTTTAAAATTCTACTCTTGTCGTTAACACTATCTTTACGTGTTCGTTGTGTTAACTACTATTTTTTATATTCTTGACACATCTTTTACTCATATTTGGGTTTGAATACCCCAGTTGAATGATGAAAAATAAGCCCAAGTATGAAGCTGTTGATTTGTATTTGGATATTGGTGCAATTAAATAATATGATATTTTATGGGGAAAATCACAAAAGCTGCAATAACTTTTGAATCGTAATTTTCACAGCAATGTTGGTTGTAACTTTTTGTTTATAATTATTACGACTAGTGATGTGTTGATCACAAAATTTATCAATTCCTAATATCGATACGGATACAATCATTTATAGATTAGTTTTACCAAATTTTCTTAATGAATTGGTAACACTACACAAACCCCTGTCTTTAAGTCCTTCAATAAAGTATCATGCAATCTTCACGGACCTGTTTGGTATCGGTGTCAGAATCAACTTTTGACGATAGATTTTCGATACCGATACCAATCTCCTAGTATCGGGGGTATCGAGAGTAGGGGTGGGCGAGTACTCGACTGTCGAGTAATTACTCGAGTAGTTGGCAATACTCGACAGTCGAGTCGAGTAGTTAAAGATACTCGACAGTCGAGTCGAGTAGTTAAAGATACTCGTGACTCGAGTCGAGTAGTAGACGTTAAGCCGATTTCGTTATTTTCATTGATATTTGACAAATACATAGTAAGAAAGGAAGATGCTTGAGTTTTATTTAATCCCTTAACCCCTTTAAATATTGACATCCTAGGCCTACTAATAATCGGCAACCTAGACATCGCTTGCGTCATCCATTTCACTGACAGCGACAGCGCCGACAGCTGAGCTGACACTGGGTGATACGGTGACCGGTGATAGGCGATAGGCAGTGGTGTTATAGTGAATCCGTGGATTAGTTTAAGTTATGTTTGGTTTTCCTGCTTTAAATTAAGTTTTAAGTTAATAAATGTAGAATAAATAAAGAGTTAAAATTGTATCAACTTTCTTTCTTTTGTATTAGTTTATTTACAATCAATTATTTCCATGGAAACAAAAAATAAAAACCAGCTGTCTCAGCACACTCCCACATCATTAGTTAGTTGTTCTGGGCCCCTTTTTTCTTTCCGGAATTCACGTCAGAGACTTCAATGGGATACAACAAGTTAATAGGTCTGGTGATGTATTTCCCAGATCCTAACTTTAATTTGGCACTTCTTACGTTTCCATCAGCACTGACGTTAAGGACTTCTATTTTCCCAAGTCGCCATGTCCCTCTGGGTAATGTGTCGTGAACATGAACTACATCACCAACTTGTGGATGTTGGGTTGACAGAATTCTTCCTTGTTTGATATTATGTTGAGTTCTCTCCCTTAAACTCAACAGATAGTCTTTCTTCCAAATCTTCCAAAAGCTATTTAAGTTGTTGGTTCCCTTTTTCCACATCTTTAATAAGTCCGATTCAGTCACTTTAGAAATAAACTCCATGTCGTTTTCTTGACATTCATTCAAACTATTTACAAAACCATTTTTTCCATGGAAGTTAAGGAAGTGGCCAGGAGTTATAATAAAGTCAGTCAAACTTTGATCTGAGGAAGATACATAAACTAGTGGTCTTGAGTTGACAACAGCTTCTATTTCAATCATCACAGTGTCGAGTTGTGATTTAGTCAGAGTAACTGAACCAATACTCTTTCTTAAACATCTCTTTATCAAAGATATCATCCTCTCGTACATTCCTCCCATCCAAGGTGCAAACTCTGGGATGTAAGTAAATTTGATGTGGTTTTCACTTACATAAGACAGTAATTCTGGTGTATCGAGATGCTCAACAAACATATCATTCAAGAACGAGGAAGCCTTCTTAAACTGAGTAGCGTTGTCCAAGTAAATCTTCTTCGGAGTACCTCTTCTTCCCTCAAACCTCCTGAGAGATAGTAAGAATTCTTCTGACGACAAGTTATTGGTGATCTCTAAATGAACAGCTCTCGTGACTAAACAGGTGAATATGCAACCGTAAACTTTTGAAACTTCAACTCTAGAAGCTTGAAAGGATTTAATGTAGAGAGGGCCAAAGTAGTCAAGTCCTGTAAATTGGAAAGGTATACTTTCAGTCACCCGTTCTGTTGGAAGCGAGGGTATTTGGGGCAGCTTGTATGGTCCACCTTCGTATTTTAAACATTTCAAACATTTTCGCAAAACTCTGTTGACTTCAGCTCTGCCATGGATTATCCAAAAGGATTTCCGAAGTTCCGAGAGAGTTTGTTGCACTCCCATGTGAAAAATCTTACAGTGACACTCTTCTATGAGCAGTTGAGTAAATAAATCGTTCTTTGGTAGAAGTATAGGGAACTTGCAATATTCTTCAAGGTCTGCATTTGAGATCCTACCCTTACATCTGATAAGTCCATTCATATCAACGAATAGGCCAAGTTGATTCTGCAATCTATCATACCTACCATCTCTTATATTACTTAGTGTTTCACTAAAACAAGTGTTTTGAACATGTTTGATCCACGATAAACGAGCATCTTTGAGTTCTTCAGATGTAGGAATAACATGATTTGGTTGTTTATTCCGTCTGCATCCACTTATAAACCTTTTACAAAAAACTGTTGTCAAAATCAGTTTCGAAAGTAATGAAAACCTTTGTATATCTATGCCAAAAGGACTACTAGTTTCACTCACGTCTTCGGTCTTTGTAGTCAAGGTGACGACGTTTTCTTCAATAGTTTCAACCATATCGTCTTCAGTTAATGGCTTGTTAAAATCAGAAGACCAATCCGGCCACAAGTCTTGACTACAAGACATCCATTGTGGACCTGACCACCATTCATTGCAGTGTTTCAGACTATCCACCGTTTTACCTCGAGTCGCCATATCAGCTGGATTTTCGTCAGTAGGAACGTATCTAAATTGCGTCTCGGTGTTGGTTTTGATCTCCATTACTCTTCTCTCCACAAACTTAGGAAGCAGCTTTGTTGTGCTAATCCAACGTAACACGCATTGTGAATCAGTCCACAGTATCTTATTTACAACAGGAAATTTTAAGGATTCTTCCACAAAACGTAATGCTCTTGTTCCAATCAACACTCCTAAAAGTTCGAGTCTTGGAAGGGTAATTTTCGGCTTTGACTTTGGAGTTAAATGGCTTTTACAAAACATGAGAGTCACTTTGACAGTCTCCTTACTAATTAATTTGATATACACAGCACACGAATATACATCCTTTGATGCATCCGTAAAACAATGGAGCTCTACATGATCTGCTCGTAATCCTGCGAATCGAGGAATAGAAACTTCAGTTACTTTAATAATATCATCACATATAATATTCCATTCCCTACATTTAGGCTCATCTAGTAATTCGTCCCAATCCAAATTGTCTTCCCACAACTGTTTGAGAAAGATTTTAGCCTTCAGTGTTACAGGGGATAATAACCCTAAGGGATCAAAAACGGATGATATAGTACTTAAAACTTGTCTTTTTGAAATAGGTTTGTTTCTGTCATTGTTAACAGGTTTTATGTGAAGATTGTCAAGATTGGTGTTCCATCTTAATCCAAGAACATTAACATCAGTAGGATTCTCA